TTGTTTCTTCATCAGTCAGCTGATCACAGTGAACAGCTGTGAGGCCATAGGTATAGATTGAGACACAGAAGAGGCATAGCAGTAGGAATTAATTGCTGCAGGATTCTGAGCCACCTGTTCATACAAATTACTTGTAACTTCCAGGCCTCTCCAAGCCTGGTCTTTTCTATACTGTGTTCAGTTGATAATAGATTGCTATTGTGCACACCCAATCAGTGGCTAGGTTGGTCATGTAATTTTCGGTTCATGATACGAAGCTCAGGACACATAGTCACCTGATGTGCCATAGTTAGGCATTTACTCACTGTCTAAGTAAGGCCTAGTAGCAATGCAGAAGCTACTTCTCAGAAGGAAAATAATTATCTGTCAAGGAGGGCATGGAGTTCTTTGGTAGCTTTTCATAGGCTCCATACAGCATCCCTATTTACTACAGACACTTTTGAGTATCATTGAATCTGGTAGATCATAAGGCCCAAGTGGAAGATGAGTTTGCCTTCTCTTGTTCTCATCCCCACGGAAAGCTTGTAAGTGATTTGATAGATGGATAGAAGCAGCTCATTCAAATATGGTATATGTTGCTTCCCAAAAGACCTACCAAGCATTTTACTCCTTTTGTTCATGGTAGATGATGGGAGGTATAGCAACTTGTCTTTCACGTTGGAGGGACTGTCTTGATATACTCTAGATCATTGGATCCCTAGGAACTTCACTGAGGTGGCAGGGTACTTGAATTTTTGTGGGAATTATCTGCCACTCTCTTGATTCACTTATGTCTTACCAGGGCATCTAAAGTACTTGTTGCTTCCTGCTCCCCAGATCCATTCAGCATAATGTCATTAATGTAGTGGACCATTGAAATGTTTTGTCGAATGTCAAGATGATAAGGATCTCTGTGGACTGTATTATGGCAAAGAACAGGAGAGTTGAAATAGCCCTGAGGCAAGGATTTGAAGGTGTCCACAGATACCAGCCAGGTAAAAGCAAACTGCTTCTGGTGGTCTTTACAAATTGGTATGGCAATAAAAGCATTAACCAGGGCGATAGCTGCATGCAGGATGCTAGGGACTGTGTTCATTTGTTCTAGTAAAGATCTGGAAGAGTAGCTTCAGTTGAAATCACCATGTGATTAAATTTATTATCCATAGTTATTAGTTAAAATCTTTTATTTCAGCACAGACCAAACAAGCAAGTTTAAATGATGATGTGTTAGGTATTTTTACCCCTACTTCATGTGTTTGGTAATGTCACTGATTTTTGCAGTTCTCAGGGTTGCAATTTTGTTTTTGGTTTATTGTCTCTGTAGAGAGAGGAATTTCCAAAGGTTTTCCTTTAGTTTTTCCTGTTGTAATGACTCTTACCCCATGGATCACAGAGTCAGTGTAGAGCATTCTGCAGATTGCCAAGTATATCTGTTCCAGCTCAGGAATTGGGTGCAGTCCACAGACCACTTGAGTTCCACTATGATTCAAAATTGGACTTAGATTCCATCTATCACATGATTAACAGAAGGCCCCACTTTGCTGTACAAGAGCAGCATTTTGTGTTCTTAAGAATTAGTGTCTATTCAGTGCCCATGTCTCCTAATTTCTGAAAGTTTGGATCTTTCCTTTTCTTCAGTTCACAGTCATTCTGCTGAATGGGCACAGATCCTTGGAGGAAGATGTGTGTTGTGTACTTGTGACTGTGCTACAGGGTTCTTCCTCAGTGGGACCTGGCCTTCCCTTCAATCCAGGGGCTCTGAGTGTATGAATGGGCTTAGGTCTGAAAACTGTTTGAGAATCTGTGACTCTCCATTGTGGTGATTTAAGTCAGATTTTCTAGCCACCAGATCTGGAGTTTTTTCTATTATATACAGTGAACTCTAATCTGGTAACCCACTCATTTATTTCATTCCTGGAAATACTATATTTAGCCACCAGGAGAAATCTCCACAGGTCAAATTTTTCTGATTATTAGTACACCCCTGCTGCCTTTTTTGGTAAAAGAATCTGTCTTGTTTTTGTCGGTTTAAGGGCTGCTCCTTGGCCTCTGCTTCTCCAGAATTGTCTGTTGGATCAGGGAGCTCATATTAATGGCAACGTTTCCCATTCCTGACCTACGTGGAAGGACAGAGCTCTTCAGTGATTCAGATACTGCCCTTAATTAATGTTTATTTCTCAGTGCTTTCATGTCAAGGGACTATTTCCTAGACTTTTTCAGGGGATGTAATTGCTGGGCAAGTGTGCAGGTTGCATATGAAAAATCTCCAACATTCTTACCTCCCTAAGCTTTTGGATTCCTTCCTTTATATCAGGAGTCAGCCTATGGATGAACTCCAGACTGCCTCTTGACTTTGTAAACCAAGTTTTATCAAAACAAAGCCATGACCATTTTTTTATGTGTTATCTAGGTCTGCTTTTGCACTGCAATAACAGTTGAGTAGCTACGACAGAGACCATATTGCCTGTAAAGCTGAAAATATTTGCTCTCTGGTCCTTTAAGAAGTCTGCCAACCTTTGCCTTAGAGCATGCTGAGATTTGATCCAAGGTAGGGGTCTAGTGACAGCAAAGCGGTGATTGTGATGGTTCTTCAGAAAGTTAAGCATCCCCTGCAAGGTGTCTGTTTAATAAGGTGAGTCTTCACAGACACGGGAGAGCAAGCTATTTGCACTGGTCAGTGAGACTTAGGTAACTCAGAAGTTAAAGATTTTCAGTTTTGTCTGAGTCCAACCAGATGTTCCCATTCCAAGGTTAAGGGTTCTCTTCCTTCCCAATCAATGCCCTAATTTTCACATAAGAAACTTGGCAAATCTGTGAGATCAGTTGACATAAATTTTCAGCAATATCAGCCCTGTCAGAGATTCTTTTAGGTTTGTCATTGGAGCTCTCTCTACTCAGACCAAGACTAGTGCTGAGAGTTTAAAGGACCTGGCTTGTTATTTCTTTCTGTGAATTCTTCATGCACTCAGTAGAATCTTCGCAGTCCTTGTAGTCATTATTTTTATAATGGTCAAGGGCTGTGGCCTCTTGGATGCCCAGGGCACTTACTTTAGCGGATACTTCACAATCAACCACAGGAGATAGCTTAATTAATTGTTCTGCCAGTGCGTACCTTGGATGGCTAGCATCCCATTTCCCATTGACAAGGGTTCAGCACTATGCACAAGCCCAAAGACATGCCTAAACCAATTCCAAAAATCCCATCTTTAATGCCCTGTCTGGTGTGACCACTACAGTACCAATTTTATATAAATCAGAGGCAAAAACCACCCCCGAAATTTGAACAGGGAAAAGTTTAATATGGAGTGTTAACTAATGAAAGGTGATTTAACTGCTAAAAAATATGAAAGAGGATTCTAAGGGGTGTAGAAGGAGCAACTGCAGAAAGCAGCCACCACCCACAGGGCCAGTGGACAGTGACCAAGGAATGAACTCAGAGGTTGGATCCTTCCCCACTTCCCCCAGGCTGAGATTCAGATCTCTTTAGAGAGGGTATAGGTGCCTCAAGAACACACAGCCTGCCAGTGGAAAAGAAACTTCTCAGAGAGCTAATCTAGGAGGTCTTCTGCTATGGTGGTGGAGAAACCTCTTCCCCTCGTTGACTCACTGGTTCCAGCACACCGGAAGCAAGAAAAATCCCTTCCTTCTTCTTTGGCCTGCGGGGACCCTCTAGCCCCCTCTACTGGCCAAAACCAAGTGTACTGACAAAGGCAAAATACGGGCTCCAGCTCCAGTAATCATAGAGCTGAAAAAAGATGGGGGGATTTGGAGCTGAGAGACAATGAGTTAATAACAAGCTGTTATCCAGCTTTATGGCTGTAATTTCTATCTGTGTGCTGCTGCCTCCCATATGTATACTTCTAGTCTATTTTCCCTGAACTTCAGAATATTAATGTATCAAACTGGTTCCTTGATGTCTTCATTTGACTTTCTCATAAGCATCCTTAACAGGTACAAAACCAAACACTTCTACCTCCCCTGGTTTTTCCCATCTCAGTAAATGACACATCTTTCAAACAAAAACATAGCCGCGACTTTCTCTCTTTCTCCTACTTTACTCCCAGTTGATCAAAGTCCTGCCAGATCTTTCTTCAAAATATGAACAAATCCTACCGTTTCTCATTAGCTCCACTGCTGCTGCCCTGCTCCAGGTCACCATCATCTCTTGACTCTTAAATAGCAGACATCACATGCTAGATTTCTCATGTATGCTTGGTAATTAAATGACTGCTTATTCTCAATTCATTTTATAACTTTTCATTCTATGACAGCTGTAGCCTATCCCTCCCTCTCCAAATTTTATGCAAGACACCAAAAGCCTTAGGGCTTTGAATATGCCTGCTGCATCCCTTGCTGTCAGGGTAAGCCCATTTTTTTGTGTTTGCCAATGCAGCATTAACCCTTATTTTTTTAATTAATAATATTAACATAATTATATCTTCATGTGTAGTTTTGAAACATGTATGGATCTTCCTAGCTTAAACTAATAATTGCCTATTTTAAGATTTTTTTTTAATTTGAAAGCATTTTTATAAAGATGGCCTTATTTCTTAAATTTCTGATTTGTTGGATAGAAATTACAAAGATAGCAACCCCTTCCCAACAAGAAAAGAAAATTCCACATATGTTACTGACTTTTATGTTAGTTAAAATCTCTGTCTCTTCATCAGCTTAATTTCTTTTAACGTAAATATCAGTACTCACTTTTGTTACATTCAGAAAAGGAAATGGTTTGTATTATTATTGCTTGGAATTCCACACCACTGATTTCAATAGGAAACTTTATTATTTGAATCTTAATTCCTTTCTAATATTGACTAGAGGCCATAATAAGTATAGGAAACCTCTTTGAAAGGTTCCTTAAGCACATACTTTTTTTTTTAATTAAAGAAAATCACCTGATAGAAGCTTTCTTTTTCTTTTAGGTGGGAGATGTTGCTGTTTCTCTCCTGATGGTAAAGCTTTAGCTGTAGGTCTCAATGATGGAAGTTTCTTACTGGCAAATGCAGATACTCTGGAGGATCTTGTGTCTTTTCACCACAGAAGAGATATTATTTCAGATATTCGATTTTCACCAGGTAAGATTTCACTGAAATCATATTTGATTATTAGCTTGGGTCTGGCAATGAGTAAATATATCAATGTGTAGTTTTCAGTAACTGTTATTCTATCTCAGAATTGTACTATTTTGACCAGAAGAGGTAGTATAATGAGAGGTAAAAGCCCTGTATTAGATCAGGGGCAAAATATCTGGCTTAGTGCCAGTTGTGCCACTAAATTTTCTGTGTGACTTGGGCCAAGACATTTCTTTGAGATTCGTTTTCCTCATTTGTAATGTAAAAGGGACTGGATGACTGTTTTCATTATATTCTTAACACTTTTTAAATTACATTAATTTTGCTTCATCATTTTCCATGTATTCATTACCTGTGACAAAATCTACTATAACATAGGATTAATAATGTCAAGACAAAATTCACTTATGTTGGTTTACTTCCATTTTTTTCTGAATTTAGAGGATTTTTTTTTTGGTTAAATACAAGGAATATCAAATTACTTTGCATAGATTTTTGACATTTGCTTTCCACCAAACTACCTCACTACACTAAGAAATTTATTTCATTGTGTTAATTATAATATACTTGAAAAATTTGACACTTGTTATAACTTACAAAACACCTAAGAGTTTCCTCAAAAAAATTAATAATATTAACTCTGGTTGTAGAGTGTAAAAAATACTTCTAACACGAGAAAATGTCAAGAAAATATGTTTCTGTTACAGGTTCTGGGAAATATCTTGCTGTAGCATCCCATGACAGCTTTATAGATATATACAATGTCATGAGTAGTAAACGAGTAGGAATATGCAAAGGCGCTACCAGTTACATCACTCATATTGATTGGGATATTAGAGGTAAGAATTTAAACAACCTACTGTTTGATGGAAGTTTCATTTGATATAGTATAGCTGTTTTAGAGAAACAAGTAATTCAGCAGATGAGTTCAAAAGCATTGTGAAAAACAAGCTGGTCACTCTCACCCTTGTTGCGCTCACCTTCTGATGTGGCCCGCACTCTTATCTTTGGAGTGTGTCTCTACTTTTACCTTAAACACCCCACACCTCTTGGCTTCTCTCCCTCTCACCTTTGTGAGGTGGCTCACATTCTGTCCACGGAGTCTGTATCTCTTTAAAGAAACTTACTTTCACTTTAAAAAAAAAAAGCATTATTTTTCAGAATGATTTTCCACTACTTTATTTCATATCTGAAGATGAATGCTATGAGTTTTTCCATACTTCTAATGTAATTCACATGATAGGACAGTAAGTGATAAATTTGTAAAGTAACTTAAAGATTATACAAATTTTTTTTAGTCATTTGTCCTGGTTTTTGTCAGATAAGCTTGGTGTAAATAGTAACTGAAATTTTGGAAAGTTGTTTTATTGATGAAGATTTTAATGTCATTTCCTCAGCATTCAATAAAATACATTCCCTAAAATTGTCATAGTTGTGTAGCATGCAGAAGTTGGTAAGTACCTTTGTTTTTTGGCAGAATGCATGGCAGATGGCAGTCTGTAATAATCTGGATAGATGCTAAATATTTTAAATGCTCCAGTTTTAGGGATTTTTATTTCAGATAATTCATCTGTATAAATCTAGCATTGTAAATTAAAGTTTTTGCAAATATAGTTAAACAAAATACTTACTATTAAAAAAAGTTTCAAATTTTATTTCTAGGATTTTTATATGCATAACAGCAGAAATAGCTCACATATATATACACACATGATGCCATTTATGAATTTAATTACTTTATTATATATATATGGCTCCAGAGAAAAATGGTTTTTATGTTTAATCTTAATTTTTCCCATGAAAGTTAAGCATTATACTAACTGTATATGTACTAACTGTATATGTGTTTATATTTTATATATGTATGTATTTTTTAAATTTTTTTAAGGAAAGCTTTTACAGGTCAACACTGGTGCTAAAGAACAGCTATTCTTTGAAGCTCCAAGAGGGAAAAAACAAACCATCCCTAGTGCAGAGGTAGGAAGATAGTGGTGCTTATAATGTTGACATGACTAAGAGTGGTTAGAAAGCTGATACCTGCCTTCATTCATTTAGTTACATTTGACTACTGTTCTCAAATTGTTCATATTATGGATATTCTTTGCAAGTTTATTTTATTGGGGCTAAAAAGATGTGCAAAGGAAGAGAAGCTGTATTAAGAAAAGGAATAAATTACTTCCTTGTATGTGTAGCTATGTTCTAATTACGTTCCTCAAAGGATGGGAAGCATGTAATAGCACATAGAAGACATGCCATCTAAGACTGGAGTATTGCATGTCTGTCAAATCTTTTGGAACCCATGTGTCTAAGATGCTTATTGACAAATTCCTGTTTAAGGAAAAAAGAAAGAAAAAAAATGTGTTTAGTTTTGTGATTGACAATATTAGCAAAATATTTGGACATGGCCAAGGAAGAGAGGCTAAACAAATTTATCATGAAAGTAGCTTAATAAGGAAAGGAACTGTAAGTAAATGTCTTAATTTCCAGTAATGAGTAATTGGAAAACATGCTTATAAAGTAGTAGTAGAAGTTTAGGCATGAAGTATAAGAATAAGTTTCTTGATTATTTTAAATGCACAAACAGTCCTATTTATTATCATTTCGTGTTCAGTATCCAGAAAACACAGTGGATTCATAATAAATACGTGTTGAATAATAAATATTATGTTAAATTTTTTCTGCAGAAAGTAGTGGACTTGGGAAGCTATAAAACCAAGACAACTAATAGTTTATTTAACTGTTTTTATTAAAATTTTAATTTTACTTGTGACATATATAATTACAAAGAAAAATATTTAGTATTTTTTGTTAATTTTTTAGGTTGAGATATGACAACTTACAGCATTTTTTTCCTTTTAGGTAGAAAAAATTGGTTGGGCATCATGGACAAGTGTGCTTGGTTTATGCTGTGAGGGAATTTGGCCGGTAATTGGAGAAGTCACAGACGTAACTGCCGCTTGCCTCACTAGTGACAAAATGATCCTAGCTACTGGGGATGATTTAGGATTCGTGAAGTTATTTAGATATCCTGCTAAAGTATGTGTTTTTCTTTAATTCTCCAATGATCATAATTATAAAAAATGGTTATGGCAATGCCCTTTTATAGCATTTCATTGTTAAAATAGGAATATTACATATGTAATGTATAATGTAGTAAGAAAGTTCAGAATGAATGTTTCCTATTCTTGACATCATATTTATAGCTTTTATCTAGTAGTAGTATTATAATTTATGATTCCATGCTTTAAGTTGTATGTTACGTTGCAGTTTCTCAATGTTAGGTAATATAAGTATCCCTTTTAGAAGAAACATTCTTTTTATCCCTAATATTAACTTAAATAATTTTAGGATTTTTGATTAAATATATACCATTAACAGTAAATATAAATTCTTTATATTTACAACTTTAAAGTTTAAAATGTTTTGTGGGAAGGGTATAGCTCAAGTGGTAGAGCGCATGCTTAGCATGCATGAGGTCCTGGGTTCAATCCCCACTACCTCCTTCAAGAATAAATAAATACTAAATAAACCTAATTACCTCCCCCCACCAAAAAATAAATTAATTAATTTAAAAAATAAAAATAAAGTTTAAATGTTTTAACCAATTAAATACAAAGTACTATAAATACAATGCCTGTAGAATCAAAATAAGTAACACTGGTTTAATGTGATGAGTAGTGTTATTTTCTAAAGCTAAACTGTAGAGCTTCTTTGGAGTGTACATGCCCATGCTGCCGTGTACTGTATGAGGACTCAGTTCTTCTATTGCTTCCCTCTGTTCAAACTACTGGAGACATTAGGCTTTCACTTAGCACAAAAATAGAATTCATGTATCAAGTCCAGATGAATTTATTCATTAATAGTCACAAATTTGGATATAAATTATAATCTAGCACTGACATGAACTTTTTATAAACATAAATTTGAAACAGGGCACTGAAACCATGATATTCAGTGCATGGTGGTCTTAAGTAACTGCTCATATTAATATTTTAGCTCAGCATTGAAATGAAAATACAAGTTTAAAAATTCCTGTAGAGAACTTAAGCACCCAAGAAAATATTTCACAAATCCTTTATTTTAGATACTCTTAAGTAGTAGCACCTTAGTTGATAAGAATGTGTTCCAATAAAACATTTATTAGTCAGAAACTTCACTCTGAATAATCTAGATGATATAGAAGTCTTAAGAGTATGTTCTAAGGTATTGGCCTGAAGATTCCTTCTTCACCTTACTGTAATAAGAACCACAAAGTATTAGGGAAACTACCTTCTTGCAGTGTTTTGATGACAGATTCCCCTCCTATTTCAGCTGATTTTTATTGTCTTCATTTCCAAAGAATTCACTGATTTAGCTATTACCATGTTTTGTTTATTTAAGACATTTCTTATTTAACACCCTTGAAAAGATGTCCATCTAAAACCTGCTTCTGATACGTTGATCTAAAATTTACTTATGTAACTTGGTAATGCTAGTGTTCTAGGTTTAAAAGTTGCCAGTATCTATAACTTGGCTTTTTCTTTATATAAAAAGCACATTTCTATGTGTAATATCTACTTATAAACAAAAACACTAATGAATTAAGATGAAAGATACTTACATGAGTATATGCCAAAATATTTGCTAATTAGTTTTTGTTAATATGGCCATGCTGTATGTACATGAGCATTTATATCCTGACTTTCTGTTATTGTGTCTATTTCCAACAGTAATATGTGTGCCTAGCCATTGTTTTTAGCAGATTTGTACTATTCTAAAGATGCCCACTATAATTAACTGTTACTCTGTTGAACATTTAAGGTGTTTAAAAATTTTTCAGTGCTATAAGTAAATATCGTGGCAAATATTTTTTGCACAGATTATGTCTTCTTAGCGTAGATCTCTTAAAGAGGGATTGGTGAGTCAAAGGTCAACATTTTCATACTTTTAATGTAGAATATCAAGCTGATTTCCAAAAACGTTATGCCCATGGTGCTAGCAGTGTGCACAACTACTAGTTTTATCCTAGTCTGGGAGTTTTATCCACGTTTAGGAATTGTTATTTTTTTGTTCTGTTGAGTTTCAGTATTTTCTTATTTTTTTTTGTAAGATGCCTTTGTAAATGATTACTTTCCAACCATATATTAAGAGAGAAATTCAAAATGTTAACAAAGTTTTTAAGCAATAAAATTTCTCAGGCTGTTTGGATTTTTTTTCATCTTTAGGGAAAATTTGGAAAGTTTAAGAGGTATGTGGCCCATAGTACACACGTCACAAATGTTCGGTGGACTTATGATGACAGCATGTTGGTTACCTTAGGAGGTACAGATATGTCCTTAATGGTTTGGACAAATGAAATGGAGGGCTATCGAGAAAAAAGGCCTTGTGATAGTGAAGAGTCTGATATAGATTCTGAAGAAGATGGGGGTATGTCATTTTAAAATATTTCTTTTTAACAAAAACAGAGAAAAATTTAGCACAACCGATTTAAACTGCAGAAGTTAATTAAATAATAATAATGTTTGAATAATACTTCTTTTGGGGTTTTTTTTTTTGTCTTTTTAACACCAAAATTGGTTTTATGATTGAAAAGCAACGGACTGCCATATATTGATGACTTAGACATTCTTCCTTTACCAATGTATGATAATCATACTTTAAATAAGTACTGTTAAAATAAATTTATAGTATTGAATCTCATATTTTAAAATAATTTTGATTTTTTTATAATATACCAGTGATACCAGCTCATTATAGAAAAATTAGAATGTACGTTTTGCAATAAAAAATAAACACAGCATTCGTAATTTGACCACTCGGAGGTAACCTCTGTTAACATTTTGGGTATATCCATAGGAGTATGTGCATTTATATACATTATATTTTTTAACAAAAATGATGTCTTACTGAGTTTATTTTTTGTAGCTTGCTATTATCACTTAGCATTATTTTGAGAACATTATCATTAAATATTCTTTTACATCATTTTTACTGGCTGTATGTTATTTCATAATTGGACTATAGCCCAATTTATTTAATTTACTTCATATTGTTGAACATCCAATTTTTAAAATTATAATTGAGCTCCTCAGTTATATCATAGAGAATAATTCTTATATTTTGATGGTAGGCTATGACAGTGATGTTACAAGGGAGAATGAAATCAGTTACACCATCAGAGCCTTATCAACAAATATTCGCCCAATGTTTGGAATCAAGCCTCATTTGCAACAAAAAGAACCCTCAATTGATGAGAGGTAACAATCAAATTCAAAACTAGATAAAGAAAAAGATTTTGGTATTAAAAATTGAATTAATTGTTTAACTGAATGAATTTTTGCAAAAACTAAGTAACAGTGGTACTCTTGCATTTTATAGTTCCCAGCACCTCTTAGAAAGTGTTTTTGTCCTTAAATACTTTTTGGTGATGACGCTGTCTTTTGCAAGTAGTTTAGGGAATGATGCTACATATAAAGTCTGTATGATTAAAGGAATCTTATTTACTAACTTTTATAAATGTATGTGACAGGGTTTCAAGAAGTAATAAAAATTGAATTCAATACCTCATATATTTTAGGAAGCACAAGAGCAGAGAAATGATTAAATTGTGAGAAGGCCTTTCTATCCTTGTCTTTGATCAAGGATGGAAAGTCATTATTTTTAAATTTCCAGAAAAGCAAGTTGAAGTATAGCTTGTCTCTAATGGGAATTACTGGTCCTTGTCTAGAATCAGCAAGTCAGAAATAAGGCTATGACAAAGAAGGAATGGAAAGTAGAAACAGCATTACCTCTCCTTTAGAAAGCTGTGTGAGGAAAACTTTTATTATGAGAAGTTAATATTTGAGGGAAAAGTTAAAAATGAAAGGGAATTGATTCACGTTGAAGAGAATTTTTGGAAAATTCAAGTGAATATATAGTTAGCGAGGATAGTGCTAAAGACCATTGGAGCTCAGCTAGATAGAAATGCTACTATAGGAAAGCGTAGGCAGAGGGATTTGTTTGCATCTGTAGATTTAAAAGGAAAAAGGCTGAAGTTGGGTGAGATACATGTTACTGTAGAGAAGAGGAGAACTAGAGATTCTGTCGGACTAAGAAGCCCTGAAGCTCTAGGTGGAATGCTGAGATCGTGATGCCTCCACGGCTCCTCTACCAGGTGCCCCGTTTGCTCATGGTATACCTCAGATAAAAGCATGGCGGGGGGTCACCTTGCAGAAGCGGGGTAGAGGGTGATTATCCATTTTGTCCTCACATAGAAAGAGGTAAAGTATTAAATTAAAGATATATTTTAAGAAAACTGAGCATACCATCATTTAAATACTTGTACAGTATTCCAAGTTGAAACAACTTTGTAGAAGGCAGTATCATACAATGCAAAGGGCGCAGTTTTTGAAGTCAGGTAAATTGGTTAAAATATTCATTTTTATCATTTGCCAGTTGTGTGACCTTGAAAAACTATTCATTCTCTCTGAGTCTCAGTTTCCTCAGAGATAAAATGAGCATTATAATCCCCAATTTATGGGGTGTTGCATGAAATCAAATAGTGTATATAAAGAATTTAGGTAGTAAGTCTTCACCACCCCTTCCTTGGAAATACAAAGTAACGTAAGGAAATACCTGGTTAATACTGTCACACTTTCTGAAATTAAATAATCACAAAGTAATGAATGCTACATATGTATTTACTAATTAGATAACAGTCAGCACACAAATACAGATGTTTGTAACTAGATATTTGCAGTATAGTGCTTAATATTACCTAAAAAAAATATATCTCACAGGTAGTGAAAAATGTAGTATAGGGAAGAAGGAACTCTAGACATGCCCATTAATTTTTTCATTTATTATATTGATTTTTTAAAGAAAAATATCATTTATCCAATAAATTTGGTATGTCAGAAGATATGGCCGAATTTTAATCTGTAGGCCATCTCTCATGGTAAAACACTTAAATTTCCCTCTTCATTGCTGAAGTGATCCAGGTTGGGACAGATGGAAACACTGTATTACTCACAAAGAATTGCTGACACTGTCATAATTGTAATCTTTATTATTAGTTTGTATTTTTTACAGCTAACTTTTTCAAAATTATTTTTGATTTATTGTGCATTTTGCTCTCAAAGTATTTCACAATTCAGTTCTACTAAGTTATGCTGAAAATGCCAAGTCAGAAGTCATTATTGTGATTCATAGTTTGGAGTTTCATTATTGGATTCATTTCATAAAATGAAAGAACCAAAGGAGATAAAAATGAAGAGGTATTTCTTTTCACTAACTTTGAATTTTTGGAAGGAGATAAAATGGTCTGTAGACATAATTGTTTTCGTGTTTTAAATAAAATATATTATCAAACAAAACAGTTTCTAAACAATTAAAACAAATGCTTGTCAAATATCTGCTTAAAAGGAAAATATTTCTGATGAACAACTTTGACAACTTTATTTATTTTGACAACTTGATGCTTTCGTGGAGTCTTTTTTTCCTAAATAATTTTAATAATTTTATATTTTTCTTTTTCTATAAATATTTTATAACAGATCATATGTTTTTAAGATAATTGTGTAACTGTCAATCAAATTTCCAATATTTTTGAATAAAAATATTCAAAACAATGTGACACAATTTAGGCGCTTTCTTATTTCCTTAGAATTCTGTTGACATATTACCTTTATTCTGTTTACTAAACCATGATATTTTATTCATCATCAATTTTCATATATGTCTCCTTACTTTTTTCTTGCTCCTTTTGAAGGCAGGGAGTAGTAAGGTAAGTATTTTATTAAAGAAAATATTTCACTCAAAAATTAACTCTTCTGTTTCAGTTTTTATAGTATATGGTATTTTAAGGTATTGATTTTTTCCCCCATAAAACATTGAACTACATTTTTTGAGAAAGAAATCAGAAAATAAAATAGGACAAATCCTACAAAAGAATTACATTTATAGATACAGTATATAGGTGTTGTTGTGAGGGTCTTCATTATGATCAGTGTTTTTACAAATGCTTCACAAACTCCTATACTCAAGATAGTTTTAGTTTTTCCTTAAATTTCAAAGACTCGTAAAAACAATTACACATATTTATCAGTGAAAACTTTTTCAGTTTATAACCTATTAGCTTCATTTAATGCATGTTTAATATATTAATTTTAAAACATTAAAATAGGGTAATACTAGTTTTTGTATGTTTAATAAAGTATGTACAAGAAAGGAGTCTTTGGGGTGCTTTTGTAGCTACCTTTAATGAGATGAAAATGTCTTCAGTTTCTGAAACACAACAGTATGGAAAAACCTAGTCTATTTTAGAAATAAAAGAGGTACCTTTAGGAAAATGCTGGCAGATAGGATGAAAAAGTAGATTTGAGACCAGATTGTGCAGAACCTCAAATATCAGGCACTCCTTAATTTATTTCGCAAACAGCAGGAAATCGTTACCTGTTTTAAGCAGGAGGTAATATGTGCAAAGATAGGAGTCTAGAATGTGTTGTGACTTCTAAACAGGCCCACATAATCTTATACTATTTTAACAGAAGTAAAACATTCAGACCTAGCGTCAGGTCTGGAATAACTTATTCAGGACTGTTCTCTTTATTTTTAAAGGGACATTGACAGTTTACAGTCGTCTAGAGGAGGCACAGGGTAAAGGAAGGTTGGGAGGTCACTTCACAAAAAGAATAATTCATTGTTTTCGGAATCACTGGTTTCAAAAAAAAAAAAGGAAAACTAAGTGGAAATATAATTACTGTCTTGGATATGAATGACGTTCTGTACAAGTGACCTCCCTGTCACAAGCAGTGTTCATGCAGAGTTTAGTAAATGACCACTTGTTGTCAGTGCTGTGAAGGAATGTTCTAGATATGTAAAAAAGAGTCCTGGTTTCAGTGGGAGGATGGATGAGATTAACTTCTGCGATCACTTCCAGTTGTGTTTGGTCATTATGTTATTAAGGAAATTTTTTTTTTAAGTTACCTCCTTTGCTAGCAAAGTCTCAAATCCAGCATTGTCCCGAGACTCACTCTGCCTGCTTGGTTAGACTGGCAGACTGGGAGTCCTTCTTGGGTCAGATTAGGGGGAGCTTAGTCTCCTTAGACAATTTTCTTAATTGCTACACCGGTGCTACCAGCCTTTTAAGTTATTTACCATTAGATAAGCTTAAATATTTTCTTTGAAATTCAGATTGCATTGTGGAAAAATAGGAATGGCAAACTTTAATGTTTCTAACATAGAATATGTTGAATTCTAATTTATTTTCTTTTTCATCTTCTTTTTTCTGATTTCCCTGCCATGAATGGGGCAACTTAAGCCTTTCCTTATAATTACTATTATAGACAGCAGCAAATAAAAACAATAGGCCTTTACTGTATGCAGTATAGTTTATCTGCATTAAACTTATAAAAATATTTTATTACAGGAAATATTTTACTGCTACTTTAAATTCAAATTTGTGTTGTAATCTTTTCCTTTTTTAATCTGCTGCTGGAAAGAGGTTCCAGGTAATCATCTCTCTATGTTATGCTCTGTGAGGCCTCATTTTGTGTTTATATTGTCTTTTTTATTTACCGTTAGTGAGCTGTTACTTGGTGTTCTTTACCTCTACTTCTGGTTTCCAAAAAAGGTTTAAAAACAGATTTTTTTATGATAATTTGAAAAGTTCTATATATAAAAGTGTTGTAAGTGCATTTAACTTTTATGTCCAATCAGTCATGCTTTTATACTTCTACATACTGCTTCATGTTACCCCTGAAAATGCACATTTCTTTTGTATTACATATTCAGGACATAACACTTCATTTACTTTTTATACATGTATAACTGGAAAATCATTTTAGAATGCAAGTATATTGTTATGCCTTTAATTGTATGGATTTACTTCATTAATGTTGGAATTTTTCCACTACAAAGTTAACTTGTGTCATTTTCTGATTTAGTTGTTACAAAATTAATAAAATTTAGAGAAGGAAGTTGATGTAACACTGATTTAGATTCATTGTCCAGCTTATTAAACATTTGAATAATGGTTATCTGAGTTAAAGCTAAACTGAATGATGTGGATTTTTTTTAATTAAAGGATTTTAGGATAGAGCTTTCACTTTGAATTAAATGATTCAAAATAGATACTCTATACGCCGTATATACATAGATAGATCCTGAACTAGTGGTGGAAACAGAAGGAGAGAACTAGGTTTGATAGCTACTATGCAGGTAAAGTTGATAAATATGTAATAGTGAGAATAAGGGAAGAGAAGGAGTTAGAGGCAACAGTAATAATAACCTTTTACAGAGTGTTGTATGGTTTACAATGCTTTGTAACTGCAGAATGTCTTGCTTTAACAAACTGATGGTGATGTGATAACCATGCTGAGGACTTCAGGAGGAAGAGAAGAGAAAAGGCACAGAAGAGCAGGTCATGGGTACAAATTTGAGCTCATACATGACTTATGTTGCCAACAGTATAGAAAGTTTATAGACATGTTTTCAAAATTCAATTCTAGAAGAATGTATTGAATACCTGCCGTGTGCAAGATACTGTGATAGCTACTTTAGAGCAATAATCCAGGCTTTGTTGATAATGCACCCCATTGAGAAGGTTTTGAGTGTGTAAAACTAACATTTGTATATTTTTATAATCAGTCTGTTCTTGTGCTGTTAGTTACATTTATGAAACATACAGCAAAGAAATTAAAAGAAAAATGAATAGAAGGTCTAACATTTTCTTTCCACCTTCCTGCTTTAGAAGATAATCAAGATATTGAAGGCAGAGTCTAGTGAGAAACACAGATTGGGTTCATTTTTGTGAAATGTGTCAGACATCTGTCTCTGGAAGCCAGGTGGGAGAAGCTCAGAGAAGGCGCCCAGTGATGGGTTCCTTTCCTCTTTCTCACTTCCCTGTTTCAGGCCTCCCGTGAGCAGGGCCCCACCGCAGCCAGAGAAACTTCAGACCAACAATGTCGGCAAGAAAAAGAGACCCATAGAGGTGAGGAAAACCCACTCCCTGGTGTTAACTTGTACTTTAAAAGGTATCCAGAGTTTATTTTGTTTCCTTTTTGTAAAACACCCAAATCTTGTCATTAATTTTTATGAAATTAAATGTATTGAATACTCTTTTTCATTTGGTTGTGAAAATTGGTTGCTTAACTGTCAAGTGTGAGTCTTGGATTGATATCCTCTGTTCCTTTTTTTTTAATTAGTCTTTTTTTTCAGTTTTCCATGAATAATACCCTGAATTGAACTGTGTATCTCAGAGAACTTCTAAATGTAAATGTATGGAATGATCTCCAGTTATAGAAGCATAGGCACCTTTGGCAATGTCTTATACTTAGTGGTTTGAACTTGTAAGTTAAAGATTTAATATTTACACCAAGTCAGGAACTTTTACCCCATGCAGTGTATTCACTGTCGGGTTCAATGAAGGCTCTGCTTCTAAGCAAAGAAATCTTCCACAATAATTGAACAAAAAAGGGAAGTTCTCTGAGGCATTTCATAATCCCAGTATCAGCAGCAACAAGCAGACTGTGCTACATGAGGTCAAAAACAAGGCATAAAGCTGTGGAAGAGTGATTGTTGTATTTCTTCTCCTACTCAGCCTCACAGAATCAGTGAAAATGGACACTTTGAGTAACAGAATTGCCCGCTAGAACTTCAGCATGAGTTATCAGAGATAGCATGCTTAGTTTTGTGCACCAATACTGATGTACTCTTTGGATCCTTAAAAGTACATCACTTGGACATAGTTTATCCTGAGTTATATATGCAGATCAGGTATTTTTACCAACAATTAACACAAATCAATATATTCTCCTTTTGAACACAAGAGGTATCTCAATGTTTAACACATGAAACCTAAAGAACTGAAATTCTTGGAATCAGATGACCTTGTAATTCCCTTTTCATTTTTATAACTTTATATAGAAAACTATGAAACATGTGTTTCAGCTGCCCAAAACACATTATATAGAGAGGTACGTCTACTTTAATTTTGTATCTGAAGTTTGTAAAACATCAAAAATGCATCCTCCATTTCGACTGAAGAACACCAGTACTGTATACAGCAAAATAGTGGAACATTTACACATGAAGAACTGTATAATGGTTTTGTCAATGTTATAGGACCTTGTGTTGGAGCTTGTTTTTGGCTATCGAGGCAAAGACTGTAGAAATAATGTTCACTATTTAAATGATGGTGATGATATAATTTATCACACTGCATCTGTTGGAATTCTGCACAATGTTGCTACAGGTAGGAAACCCTGATTCTCCATTCCTCATTTTTTTTTAAATTTATTGAAATCTTTATTTAATATCTTAAAATTCATTGTTAAAAGTATAGATAATTAAATGCATGAATCCAGAATAAATATTTCATATTGTAGAACTTTTTAGTAATATTTCAAGTAAAAAATTTAAAGTCTTAAAAGAGTGTAACAGCAGAAAAGGATTTTGTAATGCAAAGTGCTCATACGTGTCTGTTAGAAGTGAAGGATTACTGTATGTTGAAACCATGTTTTATAGGGAAACCGTCTGTAACTTTATTCTGTTTCTCCATAACCTGAACATGAAAAGTGGATGGTTTGGATGGTTGTCTTTGATAGTTAGTGATTGAAAGCAGCATGTTGGGTGAGTGATTGCTGGGGGTTGGGGGTGGGGGATAGCGGTGTTCTTACTGAGGCCTTGGAAGGCCAAGGAAGTTAGCTAAGAAAGCTGCTTGCCTGTGGCTTGACTGATGATACCTTGGTAGATTCAAGAATATGAGAAAACATTTCTTGATATTTATTTAACCAGTTATATTATTGAAAGGCAAATAAAATTCTCTTAGCATCATTTGATGACCAATGATGTGATAATCCTACTAGTAATACTCAGTATTAATTTTGAATTCTGTTTTTATACATATAGTGGTAAACTCCACGAATTCTGGAAGTTGTATGTAAAAACAGGGATTACCTAGTCCAAATATTTCTGACTTTTTCCTCTGGTAGCCTCATTCTGAACAGGTGGAGTGAATTATGTGAGTTGTAATCCCCACCCCTCCACACACAATCCTGGTCAGTATTAATCATTAATATGATATTTCTGTTTTCATTTCCTAAAGAAATAGTTCACCAAGATTACACAAATCAGTGGCAGTTTTCCATTTAATAGTTTAGGTCATTTAAAAAAAAATGCCTCTTAGAGAGAAAATCCTCTTTAATTGAGGCTTCACATATCCTTCAAAGGAATAGAGAAGAGTAAGAAAAGAGAAGCTACATAGGATAATGTGTAAATACACTTTCATGTTTATGCTTGTAATTTTCTGATTTTTAATTAGCTGCCTTTCTGATGACGGGGTGTGTTGAGAGGGGCAGAGGAAAGACTAGGCACCTGCTTCGGTTCTGATTTTTTGGCCTCTCACCGTTTTGGGGATACACTGCTGTGTTTACAGACTGAGAAGTCTTGCTCTATTGGCAGATATACTCACTTAGCCAACAGCACATATAATCGCTTGTTAGTTCCTTTAGCTGAACTCTCAGACCTGGAAAACATGAAGCACATTTCACTTCAAGAAGTTTTATTTAAAGTAAAGTATGTTACTTTAACGTATCTATATGTTAGATATGTTAAATGTCATTATTAAATTTTTTTGTTTGGTTTTGCTTTTTGGAGGACCTATTGTTGACTGTCCTCTATATAATCTGGACCCAATCTACAGTCCTGACCTCACTGCCCACCTCTTTGCTTGACTTGGACAAGTCTACCTTTATTACCTCCTGAGTGGTCATAGTCTGCTAAGACCTCCTCACTGTCACTGCTACTAGATGAATCACATTACTTCTTTAATCAGAATTATTTGGTACCTCCCTACTGACTACAGAATAAATATGAAATTTAGTTAACAGGCTGATTTCCAAAATCCTCTGTAGTTCTGGTTCCGATTAGCCTTCCCAGCCGTATTTCTCACTCTTCTTCTTTGTTAACTTGCACTTCAGCCAAATGAGCCATTTATATGCAGACCTGATACTTTCCTGCTTTTGTACCTTTTTTAAAGTATTCCTCTCCCTGGAATGCCCTCCCTGCCCACCTTCATGTTTACAGAATCCGTCATGTTGGTCCAGGAGTGCCATCTGCTCATGAGAATTATTTCTGCTACGAACTCTCATAGCATTTTGATCTTTAATTCCCTTGTGGCATTTTATGTCTTCAACCTTGTATTACATGGTTTATGCCTTTCAGGGTTCTGTTACTTTAAAGATTTCTCAGTCATTTTTCCATACTTAGGATGAAATGTTTTATTAAGTGCTCAAAAAATGGGTGTTAAATAAGCAAGTAAGTTAAACAGAGCAATTTATTACTCTGAATAAGTACATTTGACTATTTTACCTTAAGTTTTCGAATTTAATTCTCAAATTCTCTTTTTATAGGGACTCAGATCTCAAATTCTCTTTTTATAGGGACTCAGAGTTTTTATCAGGAACATAATGATGATATTCTGTGCCTCACTGTAAATCAGCACCCCAAATTTATCAACATAGTGGCAACTGGCCAAGTAGGTATGTTTCTGTATTTTAAAAAGAAAGTTTTAAGTAATTGTCTTGCTCAAATTAATTCAGTATGCTAGGGAAAAAACTAAAATATATTCGGATATTGTTCGAAATGCATTTGTACATAAAACACACACCCAGTTTTACCAAATTATTAGCCTCCAGGCACCTTTCTCTCACTTTGGTTATCTGAGTTGGTTCAGACGGTTCCGAATTAAGAGTAAGTTGTTTTATAATGGTTGACATAGTTGACTTTAGTCTTTTAGCAGACATTTCTAGTCACCAGAAACTTTTAATTTAATAGTGTGTCAAGCAGAAAAGAAGAATATGAGGAGGAAAGGATAAATAAGAGGAGCTGAGAAGTAACTAGACTGACAGAGGCAGAGCACCTGCCTCAGCAGGGGTTAAACTAGGAAGAGGAGAGAATGGAAGTCTGTCCACAGTAGTCAAGCCTTTCTGCCCTTCTCTTTGGCATTCACCGAATTTGCCAACTGTTTTTGAAATCCCCTATCTCGCTGTCTTCTTTTAACTCTATAGAAAACTTAAACAAAGGCCCTAACTCCACAAGCAAGATGGTGAGAGGATGGCAGGTCTCTTTAGGACATCTCTGCAGTCAGTGATCACTATGACGACTACTTTTTCTCTCTTTGTTGAGCAACTTTGTTTAACATATTAGTGCTGTAGTTTTCTCTTTTGAAGAAATGTCATGGTCACAAGTTAATCTTTCATGAAATTTCACTCTCTTCTCCACTTCTTTCCTTTTTTAAATTGAGATGTAATTAACATCTAATATTATATTAGTTTCAGGTGTACAACATATGTTAGTGGCTTCACTTACAGTATACTCAGCTTTACATAATAAAATTAATTTTGTATATGACAGTTACTTAAATTATTTAAAATTATTTTATGATAATATAGTTTTTACAAATTTTTCTTACAGTATTTATGTTATTCATGGGTAACTTTTTCTGCTACTTTTTCATTGTAGGTGATTCAGCAGACATGTCAGGTAAGGAGATTAATCATTTTCTGTTTTAGTCATATTTTTAAGTCACGATAGCTCAAATTTTTATAGAGTAATAATATACTTCAACCTATTTTGATCTTTTTTTCATTAAGAATACATTAGTTTAATGTCATGGTACCGAGTCCAGTCTGCAATAATAAGTTTTTTTGAAAAACTAATATATGTTTTGACCTTTTTAGTGTGCCAAGCACTGTTGGAAGCACTTTGCTTGTATTATCTATGTAGTCATCACAAGACTTCTTTATAGTAGATATTAACTTGCCAGTATCATATAGCTGGTAAGAGTAAAGGTGGGATTAAAACTTGATCTTAAATATGAATCAATTTTTGATTGCATAAAAATAAAATGTTTTAAAATTTTATTATTTCATGTAACCATCTTAATTATTACACATATTAGATCAACAGAGCATTCAAAGATTTGAAAATAACTTCTTAGTATTGATTTTGACCATGGCTTTGTGAATTTAAAAAACTGTTTGATAAACAATACACGTCTGTTGTTTTTAGATATTATAACAACTAGGCTTTTTCAACTCATTTTCAGCTTACGTAGTATAGGACAAATTATCAGTTTGACAGACTTACAAACATAGAAGACAAACTTATGGTTATCAGGGGGGAAAGTGGGTGTGGAGGGATAAATTGGGAGCTCAGGATTCGCAGATACTAACTACTATATATAAAATAGACAGCAAGGTCCTACTGTACAGCACAGGGAACTATATTCAATGCCTTGTAATAGCCTATAATGAAAAAGAATATGAAAAGGAATATATATATGTATAACTGAATCACTGTGCTGTATACCAGAAATTAACACACCATTGTAAGCCAAGTATACTTCAGTTTTTAAAAAAAGAATTAGCTGTTTGATAAGAAAACATTTCTCAGTGACTTTTATCCATTTCCCTCCCATCCTCTAGGGTAAGGTATGATTCTGTGATTTGACTGTTCAGCTACAAATTTATCCAGCACAACAGGCAAGGTTCTTGCTCTCTTGGATTACACTCAGCAGCAGAGGTTAGCAAACTACAACCCTTGGGCCAAATCTGGCCCAACACCTGTTTTTGTACAGCTCATGACGAAGTATAGTTTTTACTAGTTTAAATAGTTGGAAAATATCAAAAGATGAGTAAAATTTCACCAAACGTGAAAAGTATATGAACTTCAGATTTCAGTATCCATAGATAAAGTTTTATTGGATGCAACCACAGTCAGTTACGTATTAACTGAGTAGCTTTTGTGCTACAATGTCAGAGCTGAGTAGTTTCAATAGCGATTGTTTATACATTCTCATTGCTTTGCGCTGCTGCTTGGCACACTACAAATTGCAGTGATTCTGTTTTATAGCTTGACAGGTTTTGAGTGCTATGTATATTGCTTTTCTACATTTTTCTGAAGTGTAGTTGTTGTATAGCATTACATAGTTTCATATATACAGCATTGTGATTCTTTTTTTTAACAGATAATACTCCACTAAAAGTTATTACAAAATAATGGCTATAATTCCCTGTGCTGTACAGTATATCCTTGTCACTTATCTATTTCATACATAGTAGTTATTATCTCTTAATCCCATACCCCTAATTTGCCCCTTGCCCCTCTCCCCCTAGGTAACCACTAGTTTGTTTTCTATATCTCTGAGCCTGTTTCTAAATTGCATATACATTCATTTGTATTGTTTTTTAGATTCTACATATAGGTGATATCATACAGTATTTGTCTTTCTTTTTGTCTGACTTATTTCAGTAAGTATAATATTCTCTGGGTCCATCCACATTGCTGCCAGTTTTTTGTTTTTTAACCAGTGTATATCTATCATGTCAAAACAAGGCAAGGAGAAGGAAAGTAGACTTTGAATGTCAAACTCCAAAGGCCCAGTGAAGTGTGAATTACATTGTTATCAAATTAGATGGTAAAACATTGTGTTTATTATGCAATGACACTGTAGCTGGGCTGCAAGAATACAATATATGTCAGTATTTTCACAGTAAACTTTATCACAATATTCCCAGTTCACAGGAAAGCAAATATCAGAAAAAATGGAAAATTTTAAAAAGAATATATTATTATAACAGAATTTCTTCCCAAAAGTAAAAATAAAGTGAGGCTACAACTTAAGGTTATGAATTACTCATTTATTAGCCAGTCAAGAAAAGCTATTTATGACTGTGAGCTAATTGAATCATGTTTGATTGCAGCAAGCATGTGTCCAGAGAAAATAAATTTGTATAAGACTATTAACTTTTTGGCAAAAACCATCACAAAAAGAATTAAGGACATTGGGAACAATATCAACCGTCATTAAAAACAAAGACAAAAAAAAGGGCAGATGATTTTGAATAGTTTCCCTTGGCTCTTGATGGGCAACAAATGTTGCCAGTTGTTTATTTGAGGAATCAGTGCTGATTTTTAAGTGACTGAAGAATTTGCTTCTATGAATGGTCTCCATGGAACAGTTACAAAAGATAGTATTTTCAAATAAGTTAGGAAAGCATTAGTTCAGTACAACCTGAAGTAGAATCTGCTAAGATGTATTACAATTGATGGTAGTAAAACATGTGTGGAGCTAGAGCAGAAAAGGTTTGGTTAAATTTACAAAGCTTGTAAAAATTTAAGACATTGGAAGCCTATGGTTATTCATTGTGTTATTCATCAGCAGGTGGTTTGTGGAAAAACTTTCAATCTATCATGTGTAATTGAACAGCAGTATTTTGTTATTGAGAATCAACAGTTCATTTTGTTTGTTCTCATAGACTTAACCATCATCAGTCCCTTTACTTTATGTTAGAAATAGAAGGTGAATGTCCTGACTTGCCCTATCCCCACAGTGATTCAGTGGTTTAGTAGTGGTAACATTTTTTTGGAGCTCAGAGCCAGGACTGAAATTTTTCAGAATGAGAAGAACTGCCTTAAATCTCTATTATGGAAAACTGAATGGCTTTGGAAGTTAGTTTTTGCTGCAGACTTGATAATGTTGCTTAATTATTCAACCTGAAATTACAGGGACATTACAATTACAACCTGAAATTATAATTACATTGCTTATATATGAAACTTATACTGCAGGAAAGTCATTTGATGGCAACTAATGTTTGAATTACAAGTAACATCAAACAGCATTATCTATTTCTCATGGTGTCAAAAGTTAAGCGAGATTCCCATTCCCACACAAATTTGCAGCAAATGTATTTTCTGGGCTCAAATTAGAGTTCCAGCAGCATTTTTTAGATCTTGATGCAAGTGTAAAGAAAATTTCCATATTTCAAAATCTGTTTAACTGTACAATTGAGGAACTTCCACCTAACATTCAAGTTAAAGTTACTTTTTGCAGTGTAATGCATGCTAGAAAGCAGATAGCAAGACAAAACTCTAATAGAATTTTCTAAATGCCTTCCAAGTGATTAGTATGCTCAGTTAAAATCATATACTTTTGGATTGATATTTGTGTTTAACAGTACCTACTATGTGAGACATTTTCAGAGTTGAAATGCCTCAAACTATTACAGATTATCATTAACAGGTGAACATTTGCAATTGATTTTGATAATAAAGAACTCTGACTTTGAACCCCACTTAACTGAATTATTGTCCCTAAAAAAAAATTTCACTATCATTAGTAGATCTATATTATAAAAATTTTCACTCAGTGAATTTCATCAAAAATTTTGTTGAAATTTATTTTCTTTTATTACACTAGTACCTGCATAATATCTTCAATTTTCGTCTCTTACCTGACCCTTTACAGTAAAAGTTTGCTGACTCCTGCTCTAGAGGGAGACAGGCAATAAATAAGTAAACTTTTTAAAATAATGTGATCTAAGATGATGACAAATGTGATAAAAACAACAAACAGAGTGATGGCAATAAGCAAAGTGCTTGTGTTTTCAGAGCTGATAACATTTAGCTAGGCCAGGAATGATATAAAACAATGATAGCTGAGGGGTGATCTGGGGGCTCCAGGATGAGGTCTGGTTTGGGAGCCCAAGACCTCCCACACATTCAGTGATTCACTAGGAGGAATCACAGGCCCCAGAGATAGTTAGGACTGTGGCTTATAAAAGTGATCAGCAGGGGGAATACACATAAAGTAGAGTCTAGAGGACCCAGGCACAGGCTTTCTGTGTCTCTCCCAGCACACTCCTCCAGGGGTCACACAGAACCTGCTGCTTGTACCAGCAGCCAGGTGCGTCAGCACACGTGCGGTGCTTCTGCCCAGGGAAGCCCACTTAAGACTCAGTGTCCAGGGCTTTATTGGGGGCTGGGTACATAGGCACAAAGCCCTAACTACTGAAATAGCATACTCCCAGAAGAAAGCAGCTATTCAGTGCCCCGGGTAGAGAAAACAGCCTTATCAAAATAGGGAAAATTTCAAAAGTTAAGTTCTTACACACTAGCAAGTAGGCGCTTCTAATGCTAATAACCTCAGGTCTGTTTATATTAACTCTTTCCTGTGAAGACACTAAGGATCAGTCAAGAAACAGGAAAGTCAGTGTGACTGGAGTAAGGCCTCTGAGGTGAATGTAGAGAGGGGTAAGATCAGTCACATAGGGCTTTGCACATCATGGAGAGGAGTTTGGATTCATGCTAAGTGCACAGTCCATCACTGGAGAGTTTTTTTTGTTTTGTTTTTAGTGAGGGGAGGTAATTAAGTTTATTTATTTATTTATGTTTAATGGAGGGACTGGGAATTGAACCCAGGACCTCGTGCATGCTAACCATGTGCTTTACCACTGAGCTCTACCTTCCCCCCATCATTGGAGAGTTTTAAGCAAGGGAGTGATGTGATCTAATTTATACTTTGAGGAAATCACTCTCTGTGCTATTGAAAATATAGAGGGGAAAGAACCTCTAGGAAAGTTAGGAGGCTATCATAGTGGTCCAAGCAAAAGACATTTTAAACTAGGGTAGTGGAAATGAAAAGGGAGAGAACTAGACAAATAATGGAATATGTTTTGGTAATAAATCCAGCAGTTCCTTCTGATGAATTGGATGTGGTGGCTTGATGGAAAGTGAGGAATCAAGACTAACTTAATTTTTTGCTTGAGCAACTGGCTGAATGAAATAGTGGAATACTTGGGAAGAAATAGCTGGGCAGGGAGAAATTATTTACAGTCATAAGAAATGAAGGGAGTGTGGGTTCAAACGCAAGAAAACTGGTAGGTTTGGAGGCAGGAAAATAAGGAAGCTCCTCTCTTGATGGCTTTTATTTCATCAGTTGAGAGTGAGGAGGTGGTGAAGTAGGTGGGGGAAAAATTTTTGAAATTGTCACTTTAGATTGTGAGAGAGTAAATACATGTATTAGAAAAGATAGGGTATGATCACCTTTTCAATACAATAGGTGTGTTTTGAGTAGACACTAAGGGAACATCTTTTGTCTCTGACAAAGGTTTTTTCAGCCCACCTAAGATACTGTGTCAGGAGGTAAGAATTTGACGTTTTTGATCCTTAAGACATTTTGATCCCCTGCTCTTGGTTACTATTTGTCCCAATAGGCAGTTGTGCATTAAATGACTTTAGTGGTCTTCTGTGTGCCCTCTAATAACAGAAAATAAGGAAATGTATTATCACACAGAGTGAAGAGGAGGGTGGTCTCCTGAGTTTGCTGAGTCAGGTGCTTCCCATCTCTTCCGCTCTGCCATCCACAGCATTGGCTTCACCCATAAGGCTGGCTGTACTTGTGTTATAAAAGGACTGCCAGTTGCAGTTGGAGTTATATACTTCCTTCTTTTTCATCAAGTGGGAAAGAGGATAAAAACCTCTTTCAAAACCGTGACCTAAACGTGCCTCCTTTTTAGCCTGATTGAGTCATTTTAAGACATGAGCCAGACCCTGTACTAAGAAGACATTGGAGGATACCATGTGCTGATTGGCTTGAATCTGGGTTTCTGAACTAAATCACTGATTTTAGGGGTGGGGGAGTGTGAGGGTGAGGGTTGGGGGTGTGAGGAAGTATTATCACAATGGGGTGAGACTAATCAGCTGAGTGTACAGTGTCTTTCCCCTGAGTCATTTGCACTACATGAGGAAGGAGTGGATTCCTGAATAAAATCAGAGCTTTGTTAGAAAGGAAAGAGGGAATGGATGCTGTGTGTACCGCAAAGAGTTGTCCACTGCAGAAACTAAAGGGCAGAATACAGTCCGTATTAAAATTTTGTCTTTAAATACAGTTTTAACTATGCTGCATCAAAGGCAAACTAGAGAATGAGAAAGAATGTCCTTTAAAACTTCTGTTCTTAGGAGATCCACTTAGTAATCTTAAGAGACCCTTATGGCATCTCTATACTGGAGACTAAAAGTCAAGAATGGTTATAAAAAGTTGGTGGAATTGATTTTCCAGAGACAGCTTGGTGTGGAAAGAGCAAGAATGGAACCTAGGTATTGACAACAGCACACCTCCACTGGCTCTGCCAGCTCTGAGTTGTGTGTGACCTGTGACAAGTCACTTAACTTCTCTGAGCCTGAGTTCATAGGAAAACATAGCTGCCCAGAAGTAGGGATTAGAAAGTACGAGATGTCCCTGGTAGCATGCCTGGCCCACGAGAGGCACGCTGTCTGCTGGCCCACAGGAAGGGGAGACGTAAGAGTAGCATCTGCATTACTCTAGCATCACGAATGACCATTTTCAAATTACAGGAGAAATAAAATATACATAATGAACATAATTTAATCTTTCTTTAGTAAATTTGGCCTTGAGAATTTCCAGTAATTTAAATCTTAAATGTTGTTACTTATGTAAATTTAGAACAGTCTAAATGTGTAACAGTCTCATAACAGTCATACCTGTGTGTTTTAAGACATAAATTCCTAGTATGAGCTTCTTACCGTCTCATTTTTTATAGAAGTTTGAAAAACTCAGTAACTCAATTAACTTAAAATTAGTTGCTATTTAAATTTTAGATAAATGTAATTCTTTGTAATTTGTGGCATACTAAATTTGGAGGCAGAAATAACTGAGTGATGTTTCTTGAAAATCCATTATCTATGTCACATTTAGACGAATATAGTTCATGGGTTGCCCAGAGGTGCTTTTTGTACATTTATAAAAATGTTTCTGTATTACAGAAGACCTATATAATATTTATCTCTGGCAAAAAAATTATAGAATGATGTACCAGTGTATATTTACATTTTAAACTTAAACCACCTAACGTTCTTTACTGAATTAATTTTACTAGTCCCTCATATCCTTTGACTTTTATTGAATGAGGAATATTTTAATTTTAGTACAGTACTTAAATTATTGTGGTCAATTTTTCAGACATAAATACTCTGTTTATTATATGGTAAACTTTTATATCTATTTCCATGTAGTTTTGATTTTTTTTTTCAGAGTTGCATAAATCTTTGAACAGTTTTTATTTAATGATACTCAATTTAATTCCCTGGGTTAATATATTGTAACTACTTTGAAGAACTATCAGATTTAATTTATCATTGTACTATCAATTGTAGATGGTGTACAATGTAGCCTAAATTTACTGGAATATTTAGAGACCAAAATTTCTTTCTGCATCAAATGATTTTAAGGCAGTTTGTCTTTACTTAATATTTCTCTATTTTTGCAGTATTTATAGCAGATTAATAATTTTTAGTAAATACTCTTTAGTATTTTGATTATTTTACTTAAAGTACTTACGTTCTGCAACTGAATTAGCTGCTGAATTGACTTATCTTTTCATTTTTGTCAGATGCACGTCTTGAAAAAACAACAGTACAAAGCTATGGTTTTTAGACCTAGAAAATGCAGAGAATGGGGAAAACTTTTTAAGTAGTAGAAAGGGGCTACACAAGATGAACAAACAACAAATTTTGTTTAAAAGACTAGCAGTTTGGGGTTTTTTTTTTTAATTGTTTTATAAAGTAATATGAACTTAGCTTTTTACCCCATGTATGTCTGTCCAGGTGAAAATTTCTTTTGAGATCTATTCAGGTGGTTTCCTACCTTTTGGCCTTTCTCAATTTGGGTTCACTTTTCATCTCTCCTTCATATAACATAAGTATTTATAATATACCCTGGCATTTTATTGGTGTGTGATGATTGCATATTTCTCCACATAATTATATAAAGATTTAATGTGTGTCTAAAACATACATTTTTTGGAAAAGTTGTTTAAAGTTGTGATCGCCTAATTTGCTTGTCTGATTGTCTGTAAATGCCGTTTTCTCAAAATTGCAATTTGGACTATATCCTGGAGAAGTAGTCTAACTTTCTCCCTTTCCTTTCTCTTCCCTTTTCTTTCTGTCTTTTTAGTCTGAGTTCTGAGCTACTTTTTATGAAGTACACAGTCTTTCTTTGGTAAATGTTTTTCCATGCGTCAGAGATGCATATGCATCAGCCTTAGAAATGGAAACATTTGTAATAGGTATATTACAACTTGTGGATTTTATCTTGTTTTAGCTACAGCTCCTTCTATCCACATCTGGGATGCAATGAACAAGCAGACCTTGTCTATACTGAGATGCTACCATTCAAAGGGAGTGTGTTCAGTCAGTTTCAGTGCTACTGGTAAACTCTTGCTGTCTGTGGGACTAGACCCAGAACATACTATTACCATTTGGAGATGGCAGGAAGGTATGGTTTTTTTCCTTTGTGATTTTTAAAAATAAGAATATTCGGGTGATATGAATTCTCTCTTTGATATTTGCCTTAACTTGGTGATTGAAACCATGATTCACTACAGCCCTGTACAATACACTTATACAGATGGTGTTATTGTAGGTATAGTCCACTTTGAAAACCCAGTGAAGTTGCAAACATGAAACATAAATTAATGAAAGTTATTAATATTGTAAATGATTGACAGCTCTTTCCTTTCACTAAGAAACTATGCATGTAAGTGTCTTTGCTGATTAGTATTTGGTTGGTTATGGAGAATCTTAATCCAGAATGGAAAAGAAGTATATTGTAAGTGATCATGGAAGATCAGTAGGGTACTATTACTTTAACCCACTCCAGACAAAACTTTTCAGTTACATAGCTATTATAAAAAGTGAAATTAATAGAGCTACAAAGAAAATTAATAAGATATAGTTTCTAAAATGTAAAATACCCTTTAAGTGATAATGAAGCTCTCCGTAAATACACACACATCACTTACAAAAATATGTAAAAAGGACCCTCTACTAGGAATTGTATATCGTGTGATTTCTAGGAAGCAGTGCAAGGGACATGTCCTCTCTTTTTATAAGCATTTGTTTTTTGAACTACATACCTTGAGTAACTGTTTGATCTTGTAAAAATTAGCTGAATTCTTATAGTGACCTAGACATTTTGTTGTATCTTTTTTTAATCAGGTGCCAAAATTGCCAGCAGAGCTGGTCACAGCCAACGTATTTTTGTGGCAGAATTCCGACCAGATTCAGATTCCCAGTTTGTCTCTGTGGGAGTGAAACATGTGAAGTTCTGGACACTGGCAGGAAGAGCTCTTCTTAGCAAAAAAGGGCTGCTGAGCACGCTGGAAGATGCCCGGATGCAGACCATGCTTGCTGTTGCATTTGGTGCAGTATGTCTCTGAAAATGCGTGTGATAGTGTAGCTTTGATTACACAGATTGGACTATTCTGAATTTTCTTGCGTTAAGATAGATAAGCCACACTAACGTTGTTTATACGGCACTGTAACCCACTAATCACTGCGTAGGTCCTGGTATTGCACCTTTCAAATTTTGATACTTTGAGAAGTCAGGGAGTGGGAAAGAAAGTTAATGAGGGAGGAGAGTTATAATGAAACATTTGAGCACTTATTAGGCCACTGTCATTCTCAAAAGCCTTCATTAATTTTTTAAGTGTCACCTGAAATTTCCTAGGTCCTAATGATTTGTCAGAATAAAAGAAAGCTAAATCATGAAATATGGTTTTCCAGTGTTTAAGGTGGTACTTGGTTTAGGATTTCCTTTGCTTCCTGTCATCTTAACTCACTGCTTATCATGCAGTTGGAAGGACTCTGGGCCAGTGTCTCCCACTCAGGGGAAGAGGAAGAGCCCAGTTCCTGGTCTCACTAGAAAGCGTTCAAGAGCCAGTGCCCCAGCCCCACCCCTGCTGCTCCTGGGCTTGGGGCTTTTCCGTCCACATCCCTTTCCTGTAATACCTTGCCCTGGCCGGGCTTTTTAGAGCCTTTGGTGCATCAAAGAACTAAATCAATTTTTTTAGTAAAGTGTGTTTGTGTGGGAATGTAATACTTGAAGGAAGAAAATTCATGTGCTCGGGGCTATGAAAAGAACTGGGGATGTAAAGTATTTGTTTTTACATTCCAGTGGCAGACAAGGCATGAACTTAAGATGCTATTGCATGACACGTATAATCGTTGTTTTCCAAATATGAGAGACAGAGAATAAGCGTAAATGCTGAGGAATTTGAAGTAGTATTTTAAATTGTTATAGGGAAGTTAAACATAAAAACTATCTGGTATTTTCAGAAAGATTAAAGAAAATCTGTTTGTTTTTGATGTAATCCAGAATCTTATTTTCCTATTGGTTCTTTCCATATTGTTTTTGGTGAAGGATCTTATATGAAGCTAAAAGTGAAGCTAAAATGAGATGAAAATAGCACATGATGCAGGATTTGATTTCTCCAGTTTTTGCATAAGTGAACTGTATCAGGATTGCAGTTCTGAAAATGATCTAAACCATTCTTAAACTTTTGGTACCTTAACAAATTTATCTAATTTTGGATTCACTGCAGAAATGCATTAACTTTTGCTATTTCAACTTTAATAAATCATGGCTAATGTTAATTTTCATATATAACTTGAAAAACTAAGATTTTGCTACAGATAATAGTTTTACTTTCCATGACAAAATACTTTATCAAATATAATGTTATTTTTGCTTTCTCTTCCTATTCTTTTTTCACTCTCAGTTACCTATAATTCTTGGGCAGCTAGAGGAAGGCAATCCAAAGGGACAATGTAGACTAGGATTACAGTATTTTAGAATTGGAAGGGATCTTAGAGACTGAACTCCCTCATTTTATATATGAAAAACTTGATACTCAGAGAGGTTGAAAGTCTTGACCAAGGTGATTCTAGCTAATAAGCAACAGACCTGGAAAAGGAAAAGGCCCTGACAAAGCTAAGCCTCAAGGTCAGGTTTTCTGACTCTTGAGTCTACTGTTTGCCCCACCATCCATGCTCTTTGTATCAAGAAGGTGAGATAGCTCACACTTACATAGAGAGTTGCTGCTTGAACTCTATTTGAACTTTTGATGAGTTTATCTCCCCCTTCCCCACTCCTTTTCAGAATAACTTGACGTTTACAGGTACCATCAGTGGAGATGTCTGTGTGTGGAAAGATCACATATTGTGTAGAATCGTGGCCAGAGCTCACAACGGGCCTGTGTTTGCCATGTACACCACCCTTCGAGATGGACTTATTGTCACTGGTGGCAAGGAAAGGCCGTGAGTCTCCTTTCTTTACACAGCCTTCCTGAATCTTCACGTGCTGTGTTGCCTGTAGTTTGCGGTTGGTGATTTCTATGCTATACATATTATCCTCTCTGAACTTCCTCCTCGTATGCTTCTCCTTTATTACCTTTTATGTGACTTCTTGTTGATTCTTATTTCTGGTCTTAAGTAGCTTCTAATTTTTTTCACATTGTAGATAAACCTAAATTCCAACAACCAGAGTGATCATTTTTCTGAGGTATGGATAGGTAGCTATCCTGCAGGTTAGGAATTGATTTTCTCAGTGTCTCTCTGCCTGAATAAGTATTTGCTGAGCAGTCTGCAGTGACCCATAGGGAAGTCTGTGCCATTGGCCTCAGGATGCACCTTGACTGCCTGCTTTCTTTTTTTCGTTCAGCCTGGATACTAAGCGTTAAAATTCATACCGCTGCGTTAGAAAAGGATGAGAGGATGCTAGAAACAAACTTTGCTTTGTTTGCCTTTGCTCGAAGCAAACTTGTTAGATAAAATTAAGACAAGAGCTCAAAATGTAAGTCTGAGGAGAGGGCTTTTCTGAGTGATTTTCAGATCTCCCAGTGGAAATCAGATACTTATGATTTTCTACCAACATGTTCATACCCATGTTAAAATGGAATGTGTACATTACTAAGAAGTTAAGTACGTTCCTATACAGGATTGAAGGAACCCACATGAAGGTGGTAGCTCTTGCCTTTCACATAAAGGAAGACTGTGTTATGCTGCAAGAGCATGGCTTTTCTCTAAGACAAGCAGTTCATCTAGCAGAAAATAAAGGAATATCTTTTTCAGTTCTTCCAAGAGAAAAACCACAAATGGGCTCCATTTCGTCTCTTGCACGTGACTGACACTCGTGCTTCCCACGCGTCACCTAGTCTCACACACCCCCTACTCACCAGTAACTATGCTGTTCCAGTAGGCTATTTAATAAATAATGGTTGGAAAGAAATGTGCTGCTCTCTTGGCCCTGAAAACACGTTCTGTAGCATAGTGTCTGTCATCCTGTTATCCACTCTTGCACTTTCATTATCCTCTTACCATTAAGAATCATTTTGTACATTTCCTCAATCAAGAAATATTATGCGAGAGGATACATGTATGGGAGGGGCTACATAAAATTAGTGCCCATGTCAGAAAAATCAGTTTTCATAAAATTTGCTTATACTGAATGTTTAAAATTGTGTATCTTAAAATTGCCGTAGAAAGTTCAGAGGAATATTAAGATTGGGTCCTTTTCTGGTATTCTGCTTATAATTTAGCATTTGTTTATAATAAAAATTATTTGTAATGGCCAAAATTTTTTACTTTGGTTTGGGTTGTTATTTTCTTAGGTCAAAAGAAGGAGGAGCAGTCAAACTGTGGGATCAGGAGCTGAGGCGATGCCGTGCCTTCAGGCTCGAGACAGGACAAGTCACAGATTGTGTTCGTTCTGTGTGCAGAGGCAAAGTAAGATGCTCCTTGAGCCATCACAGTGCAGCAGAAAGTAGAAAAAAGTTATTCCTGTGGTTCTTACACCCTTTGCAATTTGATGAATAGTAACTTACAGACGCACTTGCTTGCTGGTTTTTACTCTGCCTCCTCTCTGCTGCTTTCTTTGCAGCCCCACTGTTGGCACACATGCAGTCTGCACCAGTGCAGTGTGGAGCACAGGACACTGTTCTCCTAAGCACTGCATTTAGACTTGCACGTTTTCTTGCATCTGCTAGTTCAGCTGTGGCAGACAGTTGAATTTCTTTGCCAGTTGACTCATTTTGATTAAAGCAGCTGTCTCCGTTTAAAAAATACACATTGCTATAAAAAGACTGAGCTTGCATGCACTTACAATAAGTGTACTTATAAATTACATACACGTATTAGCATCAGCCTGTGTATTAAATATTAGATAAGCTTGCTTTTATTTATAGTTACTTTTAACTAACATCCAGTACTTTTTCCTATATCCCAATGCACTTACATCTCTTTGGGGATCTTCAGGCTAAAATATCTTAGTCAAAGGTAGAGAAAGCTCTGCTGAATAGAGAAGCCAGGTGTATTATCCTTAGTGTGGACTCTCACATGCGGCCCGAGCCAGTACTCCTGCAGTTGGCCCTCTAGTCATAGAAACTGTGCACGAGCTAGTAACTGGCTCGCTTAGAGCAGAGTCCTCTGAAAGCAGGTTATTTTGGTTTTGGACCTAAATCCAATGTGTGTATGTTGGGAGAGGGGGACACAGGCGCTTCCCAGCCCACCACCAAGCAGTTCTCCAACACCAGCAGCATGTCCAAAAAACCAACTGAGTTCTGACACCATGTGCTGCAGAAAGCACCGGTCCCACAGGTTAAATGTTCAGTCCTACAGGACTGCCCCCCCCAACTCTGGGTGCCAGCTGTAAGCCCAGGCTGTTACCTGTACTTCTGACTGGCTAATAGTTTAGAGGTTCCAGCAACTGCTTCTTAGACTTCAGACACTAGTTGGTTACCTGTCCTTCTGACCCACTGGCTGTAAATCAGAGGGTTCCATGACCCCTCCTCGGGTTCAGTTAATTTGCTAGAGTAGCTCATAGAACTCAGAGAAACATGTTACTTACTAGATCACAAGTTTATTGTAAAAGGATATAACTCAGGAACAGCCAGATAGAGAGCTGCACAGGGCAGTGTGTGGAAAGGGGTGTGGGGCTTCCATGCCCTCCCCAGGCCACTCTGCCTGCATCTCCATGTATTTACCAACCTAAAGCTCTCCAGACCCTGGCCTGTGGGTTGTTACGGAGACCTCATTATGTAGTCATGACTGTTTGAATTATTGACTGTTGGTAATTGGTTGAACTTCTAGCCCCTCTTCCATCCCTAGAGGTGAGAGGTGAGGGGGAAGAAACTGCCAGCTACAACACCCTAATCATATGGTTGGGTCTTCTGGCAACCAGCCCCCATCCTTGGGTGGAGTCCAAAAGACACCCCTCTTTTGTTTATCACTTAGGAAATTCCAAGGGTTTTAGGAAGCTCATGCCAGTAACTGGGGACAAGACCAAATATACAGACCATCCCCAACTTACAATTTTTCAATTTTAAGATGTTGCAAAAGTGATACACATTCAGTAGAAACCATACTTTGAATTTTGATCTTTCCCTGGCTAGCGATAGGTGGTTCGATCCTTTGAGATGCTGGGCAGTACAGCGAGCTTCAGCTCCCAGCTAGCCAGCCATCACCAAGGTCAACAATCAGTTCACTTAGAGCCACTCTGTCTGTACCCAGGCACCCATCCTGTTTTTCACTTTTCAGTATGGTATCCAATAAATGACATGAAATATTCAACACTTTATGATAAAATAGGCTTCTTAGATGATTTTGCCCAACTGTAGGCTCAGGTAAGTGCCCTGAGCATGTTTAAGGTAGGCCAGGGTAAGCTATCACGTTTGGTATAAATGCACTTTTGACTTACATTTTCAACTTAACAGTGGGCTTATCGGATGCAACCCTTTTGTAAGTCAAGAAAGATCTGCATATTTCTTATAAGTCACAGTATCACATAGGTCAGTAGGGTCATTCTTTATTAAGAAGAGCAGCTGCTATAGTCCATTAAATATATTGGTCCCACTTGTGTTTCAGGGCAAGATATTAGTAGGGACAAGGAATGCTGAAATAATTGAAGTCGGAGAGAAAAATGCAGCGTGTAATATTTTAGTTAATGGTCATGTGGATGGACCTGTATGGGGACTGGCGACACATCCGTCCAGGGACTTTTTCCTTTCTGCTGCAGAAGATGGGACAGTGAGACTCTGGGATATTGCTGATAAAGTAGGTACAATTTTTTAAGAGATGTTAAAATTTCTAAGCAAAGTCTTAAATTGCTAGCATTTAAAGAATTATCTCAGAACTGTGCTGAGAATTTGGGGGAGAAATTGGTTTACTTAAGTACTCAATTAACGTAGTTCTCCACGACTCTTTTGGTTCTTATGCAGAAGATGTTGAACAAAGTGAATTTGGGACATGCTGCTCGTACTGTGTGTTATAGTCCTGAAGGGGACATGGTGGCTATTGGAATGAAAAATGGAGAATTTATTATTTTACTGGTGAGCTCTCTAAAAATATGGGGAAAGAAGAGAGATAGACGATGTTCAATCCATGATATCAGGTTAGTCAACAAATGGAATAGTATGTCTAGGATGCTCTGAAATGACCCAGCTTGCATTTGGAAAAAAGGTCCTTAGTCCCTGGAGCTTTTTGCCACATCACAGGTTGGATGATGAAATGTGGCTGCTTGTACGCGTACTTATTTCTCCTTGCTAAACTGAGTCCACCGGGCACCGACCACAGTGCCCTGTAGTAACAGCTAGTACTCGGGAGCTGCTGAAAACTGAGGACACTGGACACGTTCATCCTGCCAGGAATTCTCTTCCATCTGCCCTTCAGAAGCCTGGAAAGTTAGTTATAACCCCAAACCTCTCCTACTTAATCTCAACTGAATATATAGTTCATTCAATTCATTGAACATCTTCTGCCCTAGAATCTGAATTAAACTTTTGAGCCTTTATTTTTTAGTGCTTAAGCTAATTTTAACAGTGGCTACCTTTTACTGAGCACTTAGAAGTTAAGTGGTCAAGATGGTTGCTGAATCCAGGTCTGTCAAACCCTTGCACTTTTTTCCCTAGTAGAGCCCCTTTTTTACAAAGGAAATCGTCCTCAGAACTTCAGTATACAAAACATTAACCGTGGCTTCCCTAACCCTCCGGTGTCCTGAGGGTACGTCAGCAATATTCATGGAACGTTTTCAAAAAACCAAACTGTTCCATACTGCTTCCTGTGATCACTGGGCAAGTAGTATTTTATTTGTATTTATTTATATGGCAAATAGTATTTTATTTAAAAAAAATAACTTCTTCCAAGCTTCAAGTAGTGTCACTTCATCTAATAACCTGACATGAGTTAAGCTAGTCTGTGTTGTTTGCTATTGAGACATCTTTCCAGATGAAAGGATCTTGACTGTCTTAGTTATGTAACTTAGTTATGTATATAATTTTTCGTGGCTTCCTAAAAACAGATTTTTTTTAAGAAATTAGGAGATGAAAATTCAGGAACCACTTAACATTGAAGTAAAATATAAAGCTTTCTGTTTGATGTAACACAGGAAAAGTGTGCAGTGTCAGTGCACAGAATCACTTGTGCCCATCAGGTGAATTTGTCTGAGGCTGTGTCACGTACTTACCTCGAATACTGTTTTGGGGGGCTAAAAAGGAAGTCCCTGGTCTTAAATGTTTGTACTGTTTCATGTGGTCTAATGCATCTTTCACATCTTTTGTTCCATGTTCAGATTTAGTCCAGATTCCCGGTTTCTGGCAGTGGGTTCTAGTGAGAACTCAGTGGATTTTTATGACCTAACACTGGGCCCCACCCTTAACAGAATCAGCTACTGCAAAGACATTCCGAGCTTTGTCATTCAAATGGACTTCTCCGCAGACAGCAGACATCTCCAGGTACAGTACCCTGTACTCTACAAGAATAGTCCAGTCAATAAAAAAATAAGTAAAGAAAAATTGAAAATAAAAAAATAATAGTCCTGCTTTTACATTTTGTTAGTGAAGCATTTAAAACTCAGTTCCAGAGCTTCTGAACTCTTGCCTTTATTCACTACTATTCACTGTCTCTGCATAAATTCTTTACTGTCAGTCCTTTCATTTTTCGCTAACATTTTTGTAGTCATCTTTTACATTCTTAATGTTAGAAATGTAAATCAAATAGCACTTTGCTAGTATGCTGTAACTACTTCTGGATTTTGCCTCTCACATAATGGAATTCTTATTCCATTTTGTTATGAAAGGTCTCTACTGGTTGCTATAAACGGCATGTCTATGAAGTGCCTTCAGGAAAACATCTCATGGATCAGGCTGCCATTGATAGAATTACTTGGGCTACATGGACTAGGTAAATATTTCATTTATTCAGAAGGAAGAACTGACGGAAGGTCAGTTAGGAAAATTGGAAAATCCTGTTTCTGAACAGTTAGAGCCATTCCGCAGGGGAATAGGAATTTTAGCTTTTTAATTAAGAGTTTTAAGCTTTTGTTACCATCTTGATATCTTCCTAAGAAGAGAATGATTACTGATGCTGGGACCCCTTTTGATCGAATACTGCTATGCTTTATCAGTTCTTTTAATTAAAGAAAATCAAAGTTGTGACTTTAAAAATGCCCTGATATTTCCTTAACGTAATAGGCTTAATTAAAAAAAAACAATAAAAACATGTATTGGGTACTGTTAGGAAACTCTTACTATTTCTCTGTAAGAATGCTATTGATGGCGACTGTTAGAAATGAAACCTTATAAATGTGTTTAAATATCCTGGCTGGAGAACAGATAACCATGTATAACCATCAGTGAAAATGAAAAATGCCATCAAATTCCTGTAAGACAAACACTTTGTTTTTAAAATAGTTCTATCAGCTATCATAAACTATTAATTGAATTTTTAAAGGATTACTTAATCTATAAACTCTTAAAATTATAAAACTTCATTTAAAAAAGTGGTGGGGCAGAGGAGGGACATCCAGGTGAAATTCAGGCCTCCAGGTAACCCCTTATCCTAATTTACTTCCTGTATTCTAAATGGCCTGGTTAGATACATAGAGATCATCAGGAAACGCTCAGTATGCGAAGCCTGTCCGTGTTCACTATGGTGGCTTTTTTTTTACTTCTCTCTAGTATCCTGGGAGATGAAGTTATGGGAATCTGGTCCAGACATGCTGAGAAAGCCGATGTCAACTGTGCCTGCGTCTCTCATTCGGGAATCAGCCTTGTAACAGGAGATGACTTTGGCATGGTTAAGTTATTTGACTTCCCATGTCCTGAAAAATTTGTAAGTTTACGTTGAATTTAGTATTTTATGAGGTTTTACTCCCGATTTAGACTCCTCCTCATGAGTACTTTTTCCCGCATGAAGTTACTGCTCCTGAATTGAACATACTTTCACATTTGTGGTTCTAAAACTTTTTCCAGAGGCTACCTTAGATATCTGATTTTTCTTAACACCTTTATTGTGGTGTGGTTCCTGTGAACTGCACATATTTCAGATGTACAACCTGATGAATTCTGGCAGATGTATATACCCATGAAACCACCACCACAATCAAGATAGCCAACATTTCCGAAATCTGAAGTACACTGTGGTATACTAAGATTTTTAAAGAGAGCCTTAATTTTTATGTGTTTATAAGTATCTTTAGTTTAAAAAAACTAAACTGCACTATAATCACCTAATATTTAAAAATACAGTACTGGAAGACATTAATTTTACACAAGAGTGCAAAATTCCACCTAATATAAAATATTTGTATTTTTATTTCATTGAAGTGCAGGGCAAGAGATAGAAAAAAATTTTTTTCCCCAAACTTCCTAAATCCATTACTCTGAAATAAAAGCCGTTAGAAATTATCTCCCGTTGCCCCCAGGTAACAGCATCTTCCAAACTATCCTGATAAAGCTGTGATTCGCCTTCTGTGAAACCTTTAATCCATCTACCACCAAATTTCTGATGTTTTTCAGTGCAGAGCCATTATTAAATCTGAAAAAGCATTAATCATTGGCTGTGGTCCCAAGTGCTTTACTCTCTCCACAGCCCTTGTGATGGAGATTGTGCTTCCTGACATTAAGGTTTGACTTTTGTATTCATCACACAGCCTGAGCTTTGTTTTTCATTGTTTTTCAGGCAAAGCACAAGAGGTTCCTGGGTCATTCACCCCATGTGACAAATATTCGATTTACCAGTGGTGATCGACATGTTATTAGTGCTGGAGGTGATGACTGCAGGTGGGTAAACTTTCCCAGCCCAAGAAAAAGCAGACTTTCACTTGTTGAGACTTAATATCCTCTCTCCAACAGCTTCCGTTATGGACTCGGCTAGTTTAACATCTCATGAGGCAGCGTAGCCAGACGGCTCCTTGGAGTCGCACACTATGTAAATACAGAGTAAGACTTCAAGAGGAAAATGTTTATACATGTATGATTTGAAAGCTTAACTGAAAAACATTATAAACTGCTCTGAAAACCTAGAAATATAATGAACTCACTGCAGTTTTTTCTCTGATTGCAGTTTATTTGTCTGGAAATGTGTACATATGCCTCATTGAAAGATACGGATGCTGGGAAGACTCTAAACTAACAGCCTTGAGAAACCAGAACTACAAAAGAAGGAAAAAACAAAAACAAAACAAAAAACAGAACCAAACCCTGCATGGTCAAGTGGTGCTAACTTAAGATTGTAACAGGGATAAATGCCCAAACTTGTCAAAATAGTACAAGATTGATAAATTCAAAATATTTGTCATATGCACTGGGTAACTGTCCATAATCCATACACTGCCAGGTAATTACACTTCAAGGAAGGACTGAATAGATACTTGATGATGACAGTCAACTCCCATTCTGGGGAGTATGCAGATCTGGCAGATCTGCTGGGAGGTTCAGGAGACAGCGCGCCTCAAAAAATGAACTAAGACCTTAAAAACCCAACTTGGATAATTTTCATCCTCTTCTTAGCAGAACTTTTTCCTTTTACAATTTATATCTTATTTTCAAACGTTCATGCTTTAATAAAATATTTTATCCTTGTGTTTACATAAGGAAAGACATCACCACCGTAAAGGATCACAGTTTTTAAAAGGTAAACATTTTCCCTAAGGAAACACACACAAGCATTACTGGAGAACATAATGCTTCTGAAGCATTAATAAAGTACTGTTTATAAAGGACGTTTTTCTCCTGGCAGTTTTAAATTCAGGAACAAATCCAAAGTTAGTAGTATATGACTGCTACATTTTCATTTTTGAGCTGTCAATCTTTTTGTGTTCAGAAGTTATCTCTGTAACTGAAACATTAAAACATTGTAGCCTCACTAGTGACAAGGTAGCATGATGAACGATGGTCTCCAGCGGTGCACCATTAAGGTTTTTGACAGCAATAGTATGTAACTGAGAACTCAAAAGACAGTCTAACAGAAACGTTTAACATGTAAACTAAAGCGTGAAGTTCACATTTACAGAGTTATACAATTTAGTAACTCAAAACTTTTATAGCCTTTTCTTTTTTCTATTGGAAAAATTTATTTAATTAGAGATATGCCACTTCATAGGCTGACCTTCAAACGAATAAATGTAGATAGGTGGTCCACTTGTAAAAATTCCTTTTTGGTGGATTGGGGCTGAAATTTTAGCTCTTTATTCCTGTTCACTTTAAATGCTGCCAAAGATCAGTACCTGCCATTCAGGAATTTGCTGTTTAGCTTATCTATAGTTTCCGGAAGACTGGAAATCATGTAGACTGCTATTTAAAAAATCTATTTTTCTAAGTACCAAGAAGTTTAAGATGCTCTATTGGTCCTATGAATTTTTATTTTAACGTGTTAATTATCTTGTAGCATAATAGACCCCTGCAGGTTTCTGGAAATCTGTTTTCTATGTGCAACACCTTGTAAATATTAAAGAGAAATGGCTGAATTGTATCACAGAAGCCTAGTGATTGAGCCTGGTCAGTTTAGAGCTCTCAATAGCTGCGTCTGAAGGGCTGATTGGGGTGTTTATTAAGAAACTTAAAACATAAGTTTTTTTTTTTCATTTTTCACATAATTATTCTCCTAAATTAAGCCCAACTTTAGAATACACTAGTATTAAATTTCTATTCATGGATATTATAAAGAAGCCATCAATAAATTAAAGCAAAAAATTCCCCTGAACCACTCCCCCTCCATTTTTGAGGCTGCTGCAGTTTCAAGTTTTCCTTCTGAGTCAGATTCACCTGCCTTTGGCTGAAGAGAAACTCCGGTTCCATTACAGTGCAGATAAACACTCTTAACTATAACCTTAACAAGTAAACAATACAGGAAAAAACTGTTTCTGTTGCATTTCTGTTCTTCCAAGTGGCCACCTGATAAGCCAGCCTTAATCACTGTTGTCAGTTTCACAACTAAAGGTCGCATTGATTCTAAGTAGTCATCCCACAACCACCTTGCTTGTTACCAGCCATCAACTAAGGGAGGGGGAAGAGCCATGACAGGCCATGTAGATGCTGCCCAATGTTTATTTTTTTAACCCAGAGAATTATTTTTGTGTGCAGTATTTGACTAAGCTCCCAAATTTGTAACCTGAGATTTCTCCTGGCACCATTAGTCCTGTTTCTGTATGTAAATGCGTGCCAAAGCACACTGTGCACCCTGGTGCCACTCACTGTGAACTGCTAGCCACATTTGTTCCCTTCCTTTTTTGTGATCTATTTTGATAGTGGTTCATTTTGGACCAAGTTACCCAACAAGTATTTTTGAGTCAACCATAGAAATGAAAGATAAAACTCTTAAATGTGTCTCCGGCTGTGTCTGTTAAATAGCAAAAAATAATAATAATAATAATAAAAAATTTGATTTTAGCATGTTACTTCCTTGCAAAATGGCTGAACTAAACCACTTAAACCCTTGCTTCCCATTTATGTTCTTTATGGTGGAATTATGAGAATGCAACTACACTCCACTTAGAAATAGTGATACTAAAAGTGTTTATAAACTTCTGGAAATACAATTTAAAACGAATTTCTTCTGCAAGATGCAAAGCATCTCTAGGTAACACTGGAATGAACAAATGCCTTAAACTCAAAGGAGTAAAACTTTTTTAGAATGAAGTGGAATTATCATTTCACCCAAGCCTAACTACATGGTAGCTTTATGTATGCTCTTGTGTGCTTTGTCTTTCTTTTTCTAATGTTCTAAGTATTATGAGCACAACAAAGTGCAACTTAAAAAAATGGCTTAATAACTGGCTAATTCTTTCTTCTCCCAACAGAAAAGCAGTGGCCACAAAAGAACCCAACTGCTGGTTTCAGGCTCTTAAATGTGGACTTTTACACATGTCGTTTTATTATCCCTTGGGTATATGACGAAGCAAATCAATGTACTTTTTTTCAATATAGTTAATTTGGTCCTCAGAATGTTTTGATCTTTACTATCCCTTTTGCATTAGCTCTTTCCTAACCAACTTTTAGCTTTACTTTAAAAAACACTATATATCAAGTCTCTAAAATCAGTGATCCGTTAATTCTAAAGCATCTGACACTTCTTGCCTTAATAACTTTAAAACTATACACAATATTATGTATTTTCATTCAGTAGTCCAAAAGTTTAGTTATATTTTGCAGTTAACCCATCTGATCTCTGTAATTATAGTCTGTCATTTAAAATATACTATTTAAATCTAATTTTTACATTTAAAAATTATCTTTAGTAATAACTATTTTCTGTGGTTATTTCTAAGAATGTTATTTTTCAGAATGTGAGAATATATGTAAAGCTATAATCTTATGAGTTTAAAGTTTGTTCTGATACCTTAAGCATATACTTGTAAAAAATTTTGTATTATTTTGTGATAATGTAGATCCCCAAAATATTTAAAAAGCATATGTTAACAGTAAATGAAAGCGTTTTAAGGAATTGTTCATATTTTTCGCCCTTGCCATTCCAACTGTTTTCACCCTACCTGCCCCAGCTCACTGACACTTTCCCAGAAGGCAAGGGACTAGATATGTGGGAACCATTCACCAAAGTGGCACTCAACCCAAAAAGCTGTGCTATCATGCTTTTCAAACTAAATTTGCTTAAAATTAAAAAGTAGGATTGAGTAACTATTTTAAGCCACCTCAGCACTTCAGGCCGTTCCTGTTTTCAGAGTGGAAACGTGAACGTGACAATCCAACTTCTGGCGTCAGATGCTCCCCACATACATCTCTCTGTACAGACAGCAACACTGGGGCTCAAGCTGGATTATCAGTACTGACAATGACATCACGCTATAAAAGCTGATACTTGAAAACAGCAGTGTACAAACATGCCTCAAATGTTTTAATAGAATTCAGCTTTTCCTTAAACTGTATTTTCATAATCAAAACAAAACAAAAAACACCCAATGTTAAAATCACTTAATAAACTTACAAACTTGAAAAATTAGACACTTCAGATAGGCAATAAACTTCATATTATGAAAGCAATATATTCCAAGTTTCAAAGATTTGACAAATTCTGTAGAATGTCTTTCTCATCAGTAGATGGAAACTTTCAAACTCCATAATCTTCTGCCAGGTAGGACTGGGTGTCATTCACTGAATAAATAAAACCAAAAATTTTTTCAATTAACTGCTTTAATTAACTTCAGTTAAGAAGCTGAGTATTTTTAGACAATAAAGACAAAATGTTTTACAGATTACAGTGTAAATATGACTTGTGAAAAAAGTAATTATATAAGATGCAAAAAAGATAATGTATTTAAATTTATAGGCCACACTAAAAATACTTTGAAACTTCCTTTCAGTGTATTACAATTACCAACGTCTAAGAAAACTGATGTGAGATTTGTTAAGTGGTGTAACTCTTGAAGGCCTTAGTTTACATTCACAAGTATGTTCAGAAGTTAAAAAGAAAAACCTGATCTGGAGATGGTTTAGGTAAATAAGCAATCTCTGGATGAAACAAAACTTGGCTTATGTAGTAAATTATGTAGTAAACTGAAGAGCAGAGAAATATTAAAGCAGTAAGTTTCCCTCAAATTTGCATGCTTAGAAATTTAAGAAGCTACGTATCAGAAAAAGACTTGAAATGACATTAGAAAAACTAATTTTAGCCTTTACCTGGTTTGAGGTCGAATCCATTTCAAGGCATGTCGTGGTGGTACAGTAATGGTGGGATGATAAAATGTGCAGTCAGGTCTTGTACACTGAGTATTAAATCTACAGTGCTAAAGACAGAATAGTTTCAGTAACATCAGCAAAGCTAATACAAATAAACACAGCAACATGAGATGACAATAACCAGCCCACCATAACGTTAATGGGGTAACAGATGGCCTGTAACATTCACTTTAATACCACTGAAGCCTTAAAAAAGGAGCCCCCACCAAGACACAAAATCCTCATCAAAGAGCAACAGCAGGTTACATTTCAAAAGGAACTTCAGCATATAATACAAACTTCTAAAAACCAGCCCGCGCAGCCTGTCCACTGTCCCACGCATCAGCACTGCGCACCCTCATCTGTGCCCCGCCGCAGCAGGGGAGGGAAGGCCTCTCGTGTGGTCTACAGGCTGTTACTTCAGACAGATTCATGCTGAGCATCTAAATGGCTGGAAATCCATCCATCTTTAGTACACAGTTAAACCCATCAGCAAAGTATGAATGGTATCATTAAGTACTGCTCAATTTCATTATCTCAGTTCCGGCATGAAGGGGGGGAGGGGCCCATGCTTTGGGCCAAAGAAGGGAAACTGACTAGCAAAGGAGCGCAGCAACTGGAAGAGGTTAGACTGCTGCTCGTACTTCGTTTCAAACTACTTGGCCTGAGGGGCCCAGACCCGGGCTCAGGGACAATTAAGGAGGAATTTAAAGGTCTTAAAGACCATAAAGTTAACTCTAACCAAAAAAAAAGTTAAGCTGGGGGGTGGGGCAGGGGAGGAAGACATTTAGTTTGCTAGTGATCTTTACAAGTCTCAGAATTGAGAAGTTATCACTAAATTCATTTTTTGAAAATCAAAGTTCTTACTTTTGGATGATAGAAGGGACATTCCATTTTCTTACAAGCAGGGAAGTAACGGCAGAGCTGACTACTAGAAGGTGGTGCTGGTGGTGTAACTGCTGACAAAAATAAGGATAAAGATCAAATTTATTTAGGAATATGATTTTTAATGCAATCTGCTGATGTTTTAATGGTAACCACTTTAAAATACAATGAGGAGATTTGCATAGTCAGTCAAGATAAAACACTTTATAATACTACAGGATGGGCACACCTCTTTCAAGATGGGCTGGACTGACTGATTCGGGCACAGTGATTTCTACAACTATTCCTTGTTTTTCTTTTATTTCAGTTTATAGTCAAAAAACATCATTTTCCATTTTTTACCCAGTCACAGTAGTACAAAAAGTCACTAACCTGGTTTTGGAGACAGTACTGGAATTCTTCTACTCATGTGAGTGAAGGGACAATCTGGTTTAGTACATTTTGCATCATATTTACAATTTGGATGAACAAACAAACATTTTTCAGCAAACTTACAATTGGGGAAGGCTCTACAAAACAAAAACATTATTCACATTCAATCTTCTCGGTGCAGTACCCACTGTTTTTGTAGAGTGTCCTATTTCATCAGTACTTGTTTTGAGAAACAGAATAGGAAAAAAGGAAATTCCATTTTTAAATGAGGCCAGATATCAAAATAGGACATACCTGTCTATTCCAAAGCCTGGGGTAGTAACAGATTTTCAACCCAAAAGTTAGAAGGGATTTTGGTGATAAGGAACACCACTTACTCTATAATAAGGTCTATGTTTGTAATATTTTATGGAGTAAACTCAATATAGTGAGCACAATACATGTTGGCAAGGCACCATACTACAAAAAAAAGACAGACTCATCCCATGGTCTCCCTGTCTGCACATCCACATAATTCTCACATCAGAATTTCCTTAAAGAAGTTAAAACATGCACAGATTCCACCTATAGGATGAAAACAGTATCTAAAAGCCATTCCTCAAAACTCATTCCAATGGACCAGCCAGCTGGCAAGGAAAAATTGTACTCAAGTCTAAAATGTTTTCTCATTATAACTAATTTTTCCCCCAATGCCTTAAAATCTGTGTGTGAACACAATACATACAAACTGGGGGGGATATTATATACTCATCTCCTTAAATGCACAGAATCCTTAAGGAGACCCCAAAATTTCAGTACCTCATAGGACTGAGGCACAAAGCAGCCTCCTCCCACCTCCCGCACCAAATCTCTCACACACACACGAGAGTGTGCGGTCTTGCAAGGGCCACAGTGAGTGCCCCTGATGCATCTCGCTATTAAAACTTGTCCACAGAAAAGAAAAAACCAAGTGAGCTGTATCTAGCAGTTAACCTGAAAACCAGAACCTGTCCGCTGCTACTCACTTGCACGGTGAAATGGGGTGATGGTAGGCACACTCGTCCCCGTTCTTACAGGCCGGCCAGTACTTGCAGCGCTCCAGAAGTTTTTCTGGTTTCTGCGCCACACTCAGTTCACTCATCTCAGCTATGAAGGGAAAGGAATTAAACGCATCTCATTAATTATGATCAATTCAGGACGTGGCACCTTTAATAAATTTCCTGCAAAACCCAGTCTTAAAATCTTACGTTCTTCTATGTCTACAGTTACACAAAATAAACGAGTTCAAATAACATGACTAACACAGACATTAGAATCCCGTAAGAGACGACGAGGAAGTGGACTGCCATCCTCACTGTGAAGGGTCATGTGGACAGTGACGCTGAACTACAGCCAAAGTTCTCACCAAAGAAATTCCAATTCCCAAAACTATTTCACCTGAATTAAATACAAAAGAGAGGAAAGAATGTGAAGTAGGAAGCCAGTAAGATGAACCGTGAACTGAGAACATCGGGTGATTAAAAATGTGAACTAATTCTCATATTCAGGCAAGATGATAAGTGTCCAGACACAAAAGTGCTCCCACTCACTGAGGTACAAGCCGTTTTGAGAGTCTGGGAGACAAGTTACATCAATGTCTACAAAAGAAGGAAAAGATTTTTGCCTAAAGTCACAAATGTCATTACCTACAGAGGCCCAGCAGATCAGCTAACAGAGTGAGGCAGACTGAGGGTGAGGTGATCAAACGGCAGAAAGCCTCGTGGAAGATACAAAGGTGAGGAGGAGCAAACTGGAGAGCAAGCCTGCGTCCCACGCAGCGTGCTCAGGCCACTCCACTCACAAGGCCAATGTCAACAACTATGACATAGGAGAGTGACTCGTGCTGCAAGGCTGTCTCCCAATTCAGAAAGCCAAAAACCTTTTTATATGACATCTAAATTTTAAACACCGGCCAGTTAATTGAAATTTAAAACACATTTTATTTTAAATGAAACAAAATTACACCTGAAGGCTATAATGAAGGCTGCCAACTTCTGGCCCAAGACACCCACCACAGGCGTTACACATTACAGTTCATACTCATGTTTATGAAAGCAAGTATCACTTCAACCACATCCCTGCAGTCCTCTCGCCTGAGGTCAGGCAGTTCAAGTCGGCTCTCTCACTTACTGGCTGAGCTGGACACTTCGGGTGAGTGTTAGCTAACATCCCTGAACTTCTGCTTCCTCATCTACACAAAGAGAAAATAACGTCTTCCTTAGGGTCTCATGGTTCAATGGAAACAAGAAAGCAACCAATCAAAACCAAACACTGCAACAGCCAGTATTAGGAGTTCTTATCATTTCAGTGACCCCACCTCAGTGTTCACGATGAAGAACAAGGCACACAAATCCAGCCCTAAGGCCCAGACAGGAGCATCATCAAAGCGCTATTGGGACCACGCCTGGCACAAAGCTCCATGCTACTTTAAAAACAGTGTAAGTCATTACTCAGCTCCAGGATACAGACATATATATAAACCTCAAAATGTGACAGGGCTGGAAGGAGCAGTTCCCCCCCAGTTTTAAATGTTTTTTGTGTCATTCCTGCAGAGAAACGTGTCTTACCCTCTCCTTCTAAAGAACTTACTTTAAAAAAAAACAAACAAGAAAAGGACTTACTTTAGACTCTGGTATATACTTAAGAACCCAGACCAAGTGAAGAAGCTAACAGAACACCCAAGAGCGAGGTGGCTAGAAAAGGGAGGAAAACCTCATCTCATGAGCAAGATGAAAGGAGTTAACACTGTTCAAGGAAACCTGCTCTGATGGAAAGATTAAGTCACACATTCGAAGGTCACAACTCTGGTCTTCCCCAACATTTACTTCATATGCTATTAAAATTCTTCCTTTAGAGAGGCAAGTTCACTTTTTTTTGCAAGCTATAAAATGTGTGCTGCCATACTGGGAGGGGCTTAAAATGGATGCTGCTGTTGGTAACATCCTTCAGACACTGGACAAAAAGCCATCAAAAGCAATTACAAAGTTTCAAACTCCCTGTTTGGAGGGGGAGAGCAGGAGAGGCCAGAGCCTCTTTGTGGACTCTCTCCAGCCTCACTTCCGTCCTAACTACTACGAAGCTTCACCTCTGAGCAGCAGTGGAACACAAAACAGCAGTAAGGGTTCACCGCTCGTCAGCCGTCTCCGTAACAGCCAGAGCACCGGTGTCACCCAGGCAAAAACGCTTACTAACACGTTACTTAGAGTGCCACCCACGGCTGTGACACACATACCAATGATGCCTAACTTGGACATCTACATTTAAATGAATGATACCGTATCAAAAATTAAACCGCTAAATTGAAAAACAAAGAAACGAAAACACTAGAACCTTCTCTTGTTTTAGACAAAAACACCAGGCAAGGAACCTGCACTGCCTGATCACTGCCGTTCTGACCACCTCAGTTATCATTTAAAATTTTTCTTCGATAGGGTCAGATGTTCAACTCCCCCCACCAGGCAAAACCATGACACTGCACCACAGACTCAGCAGAAAAGGCACTTGTTCAAGACAACAGCAGTGTCTCCATCACTCTCGATCCCTCTCTAAAGGCTATTATATTTCTAGTTCCTGAAAAAGTACTCAATACCTTTTCATCTCTGCCAAGAGGAGGATTACTTTGGAAAAATTTCAAAACCCATTACTGCTTTTTTTTTTTGATACTGCTCATTTTAAGATTCAGTAATTGTCTCCCCTGCCAACAAATGTTTCTTAAAATTTTTACAAGCTATGAGGAGCACGATTATCATTCTGTATCATGAATGAAAATAACCAGTGATAAGAAATGTTCATCTGCCTAAAAATATGCTGCTATCTGAACTGAATTCATCTGATTTCCACTAACTACTATGTCTCAATATTAATTAATTTAAACATAACTTCTTCTCTAAGCTTTCAAGATGTATTTTGACAGATTAGGTGAGAAACTCCTTTCAAGAGAGTTTCACTAAAGTAGAAACAGCATCAAAATCCAAGTGGATTTCCTGTCATGTAAATTACAAGAGAGACGGCTGCTGCTATGAGGGGAGAGCAGCAAGTATAGTTCCCAAAGGGGGAAACGGTCAACAAGGCCTGGAGAACGACGGCCCGTCCTGCAACAAGCGCCCTGCAGAGGTGTTTTCTGGCTCCCACGGCTGAACTCCATCTTAGCCCTGGAGTAACAGCTTGCCTACGAAACATACACGGAGGGACAGTCTCAGACTTAACTGGTCATTTTGTCTGAAAACAGAAAAAGGCCACTACTAAGTTACAAACAAATAAAAGCAAGGCCTCCAACCAACATTCATCCAAGGATGTCAGAGACGTCCTCCACAGTGACAGCACCCTGAGAAGGCAAGTCTGAGCTCCCCACACACCGTTTGAAAAGCTACCATCTGGGTCCTCAAGCTGCCTGCTCAGCAAGCGCCACTGCTGCGGGTGGAGGAGCCCCGCGAGTCCCTCGTGTGAGGCTGCGCTGTGGTGTGCGGGTCTCATTCCTTCAAAGCTCATGTCCTCCTCTTGATCTGACATGTATCCTGGGGGGCTGGGGACACCATCCAGCGTCACTATAAACTTGGGACTTGCAGGTTTATCTGGTTGTACAAGATCTCTGCCAGACAGATAGAAAATACCATAGAATTAGGGAAACGCACAAAAAGCTGAGCCTCCTAGCATGCCCTTCAACAGAACTATTGCTCCCTTACTCGCTTTGCAGTTTGTTCATTAACCAAGACGACTTGGTAGGACTTCCAGGTACAGCACTGGAGGATTCCTGCACACACGCAAGGGCTACAGCCGAGCACTGCAGCCCAACACCAGCGACCCTCCAGGCTGCTCTAGGGGCAGTCTCCCCTCAACCCTGACCCCTGGCGTCCAACTGACCCTTAGAGGGTCACATGGAAATAAACTGAAAAGTCGGCATCTACCTATGCTCAGAACACAACAGCCAGCAGTTCTATATTGATACTAACTTCATTACCCGTATGTTTGTTCCTTTACAGAACATTTAGTCCATTATCCAAGGCAATAATCACCCCAATCCAATCTGCTAGCTCTGGTGAGATTTTCTGACTTTGATCACCTGGCTTTTAAAATTTCTTGGATGTGCATAAAGAATCTTATTAACAGAATTAAATCATATACTGACTTATCTGTAGGATAATGCATATCTGAACAAGAAAGATGAACTGGAATTTTTGAAAACTGGATTTGCCTTATGATTCAGGGTCTAACCATTGTATCAGTAAAGCACTCTAAACTGGGGGCTAGGATGGGGGGGGGGCTGGGGACTAACGGTTAACCTCCACGATCTAGTCAACACGAGTTAGCTACGCAAGAAAAAGAAACCATCTACCGTGTCTGCATAAGGTGTCCTGTCAGTACCCGAAGGGTATCTGCGGTCTTCATCCCCGACTCTTGGTTTGGTGCCACTACTATCTCCTCAGACAGCTTTGGCTTCTTCAGAATAAATGATCTTGTGTCTGCATGGACCATGGATTCCATGTCATAGTAATCTGAGCCAAAAAAATTGGCCACAAATGTTTACTTTTGAATATAGCTTGCATTCCCAACACAACACACGTGAGAAGAATGTCAATCTTACATATTTGTAATTATTTTCAAAGAAAAATTACAATGGTTCTACTCAGGAATAAGGCTACAATTTGTTGCCAAACATCTTTTCAAAGAAGTCAAGTATTCCTCTCCTCATACAACACATTACCAAGGGATTCTAGTGAATGCTTCCTGCCTACAGTATAAAAGAATCTTCCATGAGGCATCTAATCGGATATTATTAACAATATAAACTCACTTTAAGTCCAACAATATTTTCTAAAAACAAAGAACGAAGAGTCCTAATGTGCCCTAGAATTATGATATAAAGACTGCTTTAAAAAATCTGTCTGAAATCTGTTCTGTTCATTCTGCATGGTACCATTTACAGAGGAAACACATCCTGATGAAAAGAACTCCACTGGCGAACGTTCTGCCTAGCTGCAGAATGACTACTTTTAAAGGGATTTTAAGAGGAATGGGCTCTGGTAAAAACACAGCAAGGAAAACACTGATCTTTAATGCAAGCAGCCACAGGTCACACCATCTACAATATGGTTCTTAAGCTCAACTACTTCACAGAATACACTGAGAGCTGGAGCCCACGATGGAGATGGCTAACCTATCTACAGGCAATCCGCTGGCTAAAGTGAATGAGAGTACTTCTCTTAAAATTAACAGGCAAATAACAGAGACCAAAATTCACAGGATATTTATTCATGTTCATTCACTGAACAAACTGAACACTTGAGAGCACTGTGCTAAGAACACAAAGAAAAAAAATAGAGAAACAGATGTATACACAATTTCAAAAGAACGTGCCCCAAAAGGTGATCCAAAAAAGGCATGAATACAAAGCAACCTACTCCAGCTGGGAATCAAGGAAAAGCTTACAGAGGATGAGTATCTGTAACAGGTATTAAAGGAATGAGCAGGAATAAACTAGGAGGGACAGCTGGAGAATAAACAGAGCATTTTTCAGGCAGAGGCAATGGAGACAGGAGGGGCTTCCTAAGGCACAAGGAACTGAAGACAGAGAGACACGTGGTGCCGCTGGAAGGGTGTGTGGTGGGCTGAGGTGGTAAGTGACGAGGAGGAGGAAGCCTAAAGGATCTTGTATGTGTCAATGAGTTTGGATTCTGGTCTAGAAGTAAAAAGTAATCAAGAGAGGTTTCTAAGTAGGGAAGTGACACGAAAGAGCAAACTGGTTTTTAGAAAAACAGATGGTGGTAAGAATGGACTGGAGTCCCAGATCTCAGTTGAGGCTGCTGCCCAGGAGAGATGGTGAGACTCTGAGATACAAAATTCTCACCCCCTGTCCTCTTCTCACACACGCAGGAGGGAGACACATTCCACACTCACATCAGCACTGGCAGAAAGATCAGGTTCATTTCTGACTACAGACCAGACAGGAGGCAGACCTGCCTTCCCCTGCAAGGGCAGGACAAATGGTAAAGACAGAGGAAGAGGAGAAACCTGATTCAGAACAACAGAAAGAACAGGTTTAAAAGGGGACAAAGATAAATTCCAATTTTAGATTTATTTGTTTTGAGGTCTTTGTGAGGCTCTCGGATGTTTAGGAAGAAGTTGAAAATTCAGATTTGATCATTAGGAGGGAGAGAGAAATAAGAGAAGCAGAGTCAAAACGGAAGGTGAAATGAGAACATTTAATAATCTGTACATATTCAGTGCTGCCGTCTTCTCACTGAATCCTCACGGGGAGCCCAGGAAGCAGACTTTCCTCCAGGTCACAGACAACCGAGATGCAGTTCAGCGTTCTTAATTGATTTACTGAGTTCTCACAGCTGGCAAAGGCAGGGTCCTGAGTTTAGTCCGAGGGCTGCTGCCCCTCCTCACCGCCCTGTACTTTTCAAGGCAAAGCACTTCTACTACTGTGCATCTTAGGAGAATACAGAAGAGAGGAAAGTCCATGCTGAGGGCAGGTCACAGGGTAAAGTAAACAGTTTAAGGCGTAGCAGAGGAAGAGGGGAGTTGAAGGAGAATGAAAAGGAATTAGTAGAAAAATAGAGAATGAAGTCCTGGAAGCCAAAGGACCAGAGATGGAAGAAAACGCTGGAATGCAAGTGTCACACGCCACAGAATTTAGAGATGTGTGCGTGGAAAACAGAGCTTCACGCTCCACACGAGCCTGGTCACCTCTGCAAGACTCTTGTTAGCAGCCTAGGTCAAGGAGAAGCAGACAGACGGGAGAGTTAGTGACATCTTCTGGGTAAAGACCACAGGCTGAACCCACGTACTGTTTCCTCCTGAAACTCCAATAAAATGTCAATAAAGGATTAATTTTTTAAAAATCTCCCAAAGAAAATCATTGTAAAAAAGATAACCACATTTTGAAAGTGGAAAACTAACTTAGTAGATCTCCAAAAGCTGAGTCTTAAGCCAACAATGAAGCAATGTTGCGTGGATCGGGGACCCCTGGGAAGAGGCTGGGGAGAAAGGACACAAAAGTGGGGTCAAGCATCCATTTCAGAAGCAGTTGGTTCCTCCTAACCTCCATCTGTTTCCCTCTTTTCTGACGCACACCCTTCCCCCACCTCTGTACTGAGGCGTGTTTGGAACAAGCGGAGATGTGCTTTCCTGCTGGTCATTGCTGGAGAGGCTTACAGACGAAGCATCGCGGTCTCTGATGGAAACGTGTTGTAATAAAATAAGCCAACTGTACAATATGAAAACTTTAAAAAGCAGTTACATTTCCTGATAACCTTTGACCATTTTCTCCCTTGAGAGAAATGGAGCTTCAGACTCTTGAAAAGGTAAAAACAGAGGGTTTCTGGACTAACAGATGCCAGCCATGTTGAAAGAAGTACCATTCTGAACACGGGTGGGAGGAGGGTGTTAAGTAAACATTACACAGTAATTAACGCTGAGGTTCTCTGCTCAGCCCCTTGTCCCCACTTAGCTTCCAGAACCCTGGCGACCAATCCATTTCTTGAAAGATCTTTCTTTGGAGAAGCTAACCAGCCTAAGAGGAAAAACCCAAAGACACTGACATCATGGTGCCCCCAGACTAGACAGGCAACACAAATCACTCGCCGCTGCAGGATCCACACGCAAGTAAGAAGTCAAAAGCCCCTCCCCCTCCCCAACTAGTAAACCCAGGAGGCCAATCAGCTTTTTAAGTGCCCCACTCTTACACGTAAGTCAGCCAAGGCTGCCCAGACGTCAGAGGGAAACCTCTGTCATGAAAGACAGTTTTTCCAAACAGCTTGGAGAAAACAAGACCAAGGAGGGACAGGGGAAATGTCCAAAACTACTTTTAGTATCTTCAGAGAAATAAAAGGAAGTACTGTATATATGAAACAAAATCAGTATGTTAGGAAATAAATAAAGGTAATAAAAGGGCTCAGAGAAATAAAAAACATGACAGGAGGTAAGCAAAGGATATACTCATTCATAAACCTCAGAGAAATACTTGACGCTTCAAACTGTATGTGCACCATGGATAAAGATGACTAAAGGAAACAAAAAGAATGTGCAAATACAACACACACAGACCTTAGCAGTCAAACACCCTGAAAGAAGACACTCTTATGTAGAAAGCAGGATGAAATGCTGGCAGACGAGAGGGCAAATCAAGGGTGGAGACTATCTCAAGCACTTTAACAGACAGAAGGGAGAAGCCAGAAGAGAGGCAGAGACTGAAGCGAAGGAGCGTAGCAACACCAGAACGTCCATCAGCAGGGCAGGCAGGGTCTGGTATCTGGGTAGAAGGTAGCCCTAAGAGAGAAAGTAAACCCTTCTGAGACAGAGGGCCGGGGAGGGTCAGGGAACACAGCTGCTGACTGTGGAATCCTGAACGTGGGTGAAGAAAATTCAGTTAGGAGCCAGTATGGAGGGGTCAAGGAACCAGAGTTTCTGACACTGGGCAGGTTTAGGGGAGACAGAAGGATGCAGAGAAAGTAAGACCTGAATTTTAAGCCTGCTGGGATCCAATGGCTCCCTCCATTAGCAGACAGTTACGAGGCACTGAACATGCAGCTGGCAGGCACCAGGCACTGAGAACTCAGGGAAACAAGGCATTTGCCCCTGCCCTGAGGTAGCCTGCGGTATGTGTGTCTGTGGGTGCTGAGGGTGGGGGAGACAGGTAAACAGTAAGTTACAGTGGCTCTAAGGGCAACTCTAGGGATAGCCATGAGATCCTGAAGAGAAGTGAAAGTGAGGATAAGGTTGAACAGGCTGGAGGACACTAAAGCAGCTCAGGGCAATGCAAAATTCAGATGGAGAGCAGGGGAGGGACTCACGTGGTCCCTGGAGCAGGGGAATGAGCAGCCAACAGTTTCCAGGGACCTGGGTGAAATGGCATCAAAGGAAGAAAGTTTCTGAATGAGGTGAAAAACACAAACACCATACAGCATGAAGAAAATGCACATCTTGTCTCCTGGCCCTAAAATATTTTCAGATCTAAATATAGGATCTTAGGGCAGGATCTAAGAGATACATGATACATTAAATGAGGTGTAAGGAATGGAAATAGCAACTGAAAAATGCTACATTACAATGAAAATTTAAGATTATTACCAACCTTGACTGATCTGCAGAGTTTCTGCCATCACTGGGTCAATCTGCAGTCGAGATAACAACTGCTTCTGTTGAGTTCCTGGAATATAAATTTAAAAACTTCACTAAGCTTAAAAAACAAATAATGTCAGCATGTGTGCTTCTTAGAAATTAAGCCTAAAATAATCTTTCTAGGTTCCTAATTGAAAGTCTTAAAAATAGTTAAAAGCTTCAACAATACAATTTAATAATAATTATAGACCAAAGGTCTGTAAGACAAAAACCTGTATACTCAGGTTAAACCAAAAGTGGCAGTGGTTTTCCCAGTTTGGAAGCTCGTTTTCTTGGAGGTAAAGCCTGGTGATAAAGGTTAAAAGTACAAAAGCTGATGGGAGGTACTGCATGGACCCTCAGCACGTGCCCTGGGAGACAAGCGACGGCCAACAGCACGGTCAACATAAGAAGTATCTCCCTCTATCGCCTGGGCTCTCACTATGACAAGTCAGTCTTCTACCCGCAGAACTGCAAAGTAACACCCGAGTTGCTGGACACAGTTCTCAAAAGGCAAACCATGGGCCTGGAATGGATACAAGGAGAGTAAACGAAGAAGTAAGTAGATGCTCAAGCTCTACTGTCCAGGTCCTACCCCAGCAAAGCACGGAAACAATCACTGGGATCTCCTGTAAGAAGCGATGCTCAGCTGGAGTGTGTGTAATTTCTTAAACAGGTGCATACTTCCCTCAGAGTTAAACCGCAAAACAAAACAGTGACATATCACTGATTTGTCTACTTTCAGTCTGATGGCAGGATGTCACACTTCTCTGAGCCTCCCTAGCCCAGTGCTCACCAGGTATTAAGTGCTCATTTGCTGATTTAAAACAGATGTGTTACAGTGCAGTGTACAGAGGGATGTGACTGATCGGGTTTCAAATACTGAAATATCAGTAATGCCAGTTTTTAGTGTATCTATTACCGGCAGTTTCGTAAGGAAAGTCTGCTCACTCAGTGCAAACATGTGAGTCGGCAACTGCTTACCAACTACCATGTTTCATTTAAAAAGTCTTTTTAATTTTAAAAGCTATGATCAGTTCAAATTTTTATCAGCTATTTTCTTTTAGAATAGAAGTTATATTACATTACTCTTTCATGGCATGCCAAAAAAACAAAAACAAGAACTTAGAAACTTAATTCCTTCCAAAATTATCACGGTAAAAACACAATCAATCCAGAAGAGCTGACCAGAAACACAGGTGTCATCTGGTCCAGCCGTATTCCTGCAGGACAGCTTGGGAAACTGACATGTCATCAGGTTACAGGAAGTACGCTCTTCCGACTGAGATACTAACAGGTCTCTAACATATAAACAGTGAACAATGAAAGAATCATACATTTTAAAGTATTTTCACAAGACAGGTACACGGAAGAGGACCATTCTCTCACACTTAGAATTCTGTTTCATCTCTCTATACTCATCTCTTTCCAAAACATCATTTTACAGAGTTATACTAAAAAGTATGGAATTCTAAGTTTTAGGCTTCTAAGTTAAATCATATAGAAGAGTCTGACTTTGTCATTAAGTGTTCATGAAAAAGTCAAGTTCTTTGTGATTTGCTGCCTCCATATGAAAACTCAGTCGAGTTACATGATACCACATACTCAGATTTTACCTTTCTCAATGTTTCTAAGGAAGCCAATTATTTTTACATCAGTAGTCCTTGACTGTGATTCAAAACCTTCCTCTTGAAGACCTTCAAACTGTCTGTTGCATTCAGATGCTAATGCTGAATATTCATTCATTTTAACCTCCAAAGATGAAATTTTTGCTTCATTCTGTAGCACTCTAACATTCAGATCAAAAACATTTGCTTCCATTGTTAAAATTGCTGCTTTCATTCCTTTTATTTCATTGATATCAGTTGATATTTTCCGTAAAAGACGGGAAATATTGTCTAGCTCGTTCAGTGAACAAGAGGAACTTGTTACAGAACCTAAGTCAACTGGCCCAGGTGAAAAGAAAGTCGGTAAAGATGGTGATGGAAACCTTGAAGACATTTTCATAAAATTCTCTCTCCCTCTTAATATTTGGTAATTGTTCTTTCACAGCCCATTAAATTGTTTCATCAAAAGCAAAAGCAGTCATCAAGGCTGTTAGTTTAAGAAGTATTAAGAGTAAATAACATTTTAAAACCTGTAACTGAAAAGATAGGATTGTACATTTCTGGAGTCAGAACTCAAAAGTAAATCTGAAAATGCTAAACAAACCAGACCAACATTTTCTTTGCTACAACTAAGAAACCCTAACACGCAGCTGCCTGTATCCTGTCAAGTCCTCCTTATATAGCTCCTCTCCGAACAATAAACCCCATTATTACACTCAGAATCTGGCTTCTGATTGGCTGGAAGCAGACATGACACACAAAGAATCTTCTATTATTTACTTCATATGGGAAGGAGCACAGAAGATGTGAAGCATAAATTAAACAACTTAACACGAAGTACTTTTTATACTTCAATATAATGTGAACTTAATGTACTTTTGCCCCTTTCAGTTACCCATAATTTTCAAGCTTCAGATTATTTTAAAATTGTTTTATCTAGTATCTTGAGTTTCATTTCCCTTTGAAAACACTAACAGGACAGTATTTGTCAATTTTCTTTGTAGGGAGAAGGCAGGGAGGGTAACTAGACCCATGATCACAGACAAACCTCTTTAAAAATTTATGTAGTAATAACGGAATTCAACTGTACTGATGTAAGATATAGTGAGAATTTAAAGACCAGGAAAAGGAGGACCTGGCCTTGGTTTGATACTAGATCATTATTAGATAGGTGATCTGCTCCCATTCTGTGGGCCGTCTTTTCATTCTCGAGATAGTATCCTTTGAAACATAAAAGTTTTTAACTTTGACAAAGTCCAATTTATCTTTTTCTTTGGCTATTTGGGCTTTTGGTGCTGTATGTAAGAAACCACTGCCTAATCCAAGCTCATTTAGAGTTACACCTATTTTTTCTCTTAAGAGTTTTGTAATTCTAGTTCTTACATTTAGGTCTTTAATCCATTTTGAGCTAATTTTTATTTGTGGTGTAAGGTAAGGGTCCAACTCCGTACTTCTGCATATGGATGTCCAGCTGTCCCGCAACATTTGTTGAAAAGACTATTCTTTCCCCAATGAATTGTCTTTGAATCTTTGTTGAAAATCAACTGATCATAAGCATATTGGTTAACTTCTGGATTCTCAATTTGACTCCATTGGTCTATATGCCAGTGCCAGTCTTGATTAGCTCTGCAGTTAAGTTTTGAAATTGCAAAATGTAAGTCCTTCAACTTTACTATTTTTCAACAGTTTCAGCTATTCCAAGCCTTTTTAATTTCTATGTGAATTTAACAATCAGCTTGCCAACTTGCAAAAAAGCCAGCAGAAATATTAAGAGAGACTGAGTTGAATTCAAAGTCCTATTTGGGGAGTTATCACCATCTTAACAATATTAAAGTCTTCCAATTCAAGAACACAGAATGTCCCTCCAGAGCTTTAATTTGAGAAACGTTGTTTTTACCTTGGTTTACTCACTGAGCAACAAAGAAGGTGCGCAAAATAAGGATGCAAGGTGGCAGACACGACTCCCCACAGCCTCTCCAAAAGAATTCTTCAAAGAATTGTAGCCCTTGGCTTCCCAGTTAAATAGGTGTCATTCACAGTAACAGAATAAGGAAAAAGTGCTGAACTTTATATAAGAATCTTTATTCACTTCTTCACTGTATCTATAAAATTAACCTACTGTTCAAAATCTTTAGACAGAAAATAATTTTCATAATTTACAAGGCTTTGGATTCACATGGAAGTTTTTAAGAGTACTAGCTGACCTGACAGAAGACAGATACAGCAGACAGGAAGAGCAACACATTCTCAGACGTTAACCACCTGCAAACCAACTGGTTCACTAGAGGGCAGCAAACACAACTTCAATGAGAAAAGCAGGGAAATTGGTCTGACAGGATGAGCCAGTCACAAGAAACAAGATGCCTAAAAAGAGCCCATCTGAGACTCCCTGTCATTCACCCATTATGCCCTGCCCAACTTTAGAATGCAAAATAAGCAAATACCCTTCCACAGATTCCAACATAAATATCCACCAGCAGAGAAAGTGAACATATTCTTAGGAAACCAGAGCACAGAAAGGTTAAGGTCAGCTAGTAAGTGGCAAAGCCTTGTTTAACACCCAAGCAGCCTGGCTCCCTGAGCCCAAATTCATAATCACCATGTTAAGTATCTCTCTATGACACATTACATGGACAAAACATGTCACAGAGAAATCCATGTGGAATAAGTCCTTTTTTACATATACATATTTCTGTGCATATAATACATATACAATTCTAGTTTGTACAGAAAGAATGGACATGCACATGCATATTTTTTTAAATGTCAAGGATGACAGACAGACACCAATCTGCAAGCGCAGTGCTTACCTTTGAGGAAGACAATGGGCGGAATAAAGGGGGGATTTTCCTTGTTTTCTCTGAATATAAAAACTTCTCTTTACTAAGTCTTTCAAAATGCTTCCAGTCCAAAATGATACATTAAGTTTATGTATTCATAGCATCTCCTTCTGGAGCGTTCATGATAATGCAGTAGAGAACTTAAAAAGGGTACAAATCCTTAACAATACATAGTAGTGGATTACAAACTGGGTTTCTAAGATGATAATCCACTTCCTCCACTAAGGTGGAAGGAAATATCACACTCCCTATAGTTCTGTTGTTACACATTCTGTGTGTATGTAAACAAAAACTATACACTGAGTGCACACACTCCAAATTGATTTTGGTATACAAAATAACTCCATGGTTAGAAATACAGAGATTCCTGACTTAGCGAGTGGGGGTTAAGGAAGGGATCATTGCAGATTTCAACCACCTCTACAAAACAGAAAATATATGCACAAATACTGGCTGAAGCCAAGCAGAAAAGACAAAAAAGACACTGGGAAAACTGCAAGTGAGATGCAAGGTGGGAGTGACACGTTCATTAAGACAACAAATATTCACTAAGCTCCTACTGTATGCCAGGCACTGTTTTGGGTACTCAATCACAGCAATTA